ATTATAACCCTAAAAGAGTAAAAAGGCCTACTTTTTTAAGAAAAGATATAATCTATAACGTGTTTTATAAGCGAGTGACCCATATAAGCGAGTGACCCAAAAATCCCTCAACTTACATTATCATCATTCAATTCAATATCTTTCAACAACCCGATATGCCACAGCCTTCATATGAAGCTAGGATACTTCTTGCCCTTCAGGCCCTTCAAAATGACCCGAAATTAAGTATCCGAAAGGCGGCGACTGTATATCAGGTCAATCACCGCACCTTAGGTCGCCGCCGGAATGGCATTCATTCAAAGCGTGATATAACCACAAAATCACGGAACCTATCTGATCTAGAGGAACAGACGATAGTTCAATTTATCCTTGACCTAGATTCCCGAGGTTTCCCCCCTCGGCGCGATTTTGTGGAAAAAATGGCCAATTCTCTACTTGCCGATCGCGAGGCATTACCAGTCGGCAAGCTCTGGGTTCATAACTTTATCCAACGACAACCAGAGCTAAAGGCATGTCGATTTCGGAGATATGACTATAAGAGAGCTAAATGCGAAGATCCGACTATTATTCAGGGCTGGTTTCGCCTCGTAGAGAATACGATCGCGAAATACGGTATCCAATTAGCTGATATCTGGAACTTTGATGAGACCGGCTTTATGATGGGTATGATTGAGCCCGGAATGGTCGTCACAAGCTCAGAAAGGCGAGGGATACCAAAGAAGATACAGCCTGGAAATCGTGAATGGATTACTGTGATTCAAGCGGTCAATGCAGAAGGTCAATCGATCGCACCATTCATCATTGGTTCAGGCCAATATCATCTTGCCAATTGGTACCGAGAATGCAACCTCCCCGCCGATTGGGTCATTGCATTGAGCGAAAATGGATGGACCAATAACCAGCTAGGTCTTGACTGGCTACAGCACTTTGATCGATCAACAAAGGACCGATCAGTTGGTTCTTATCGTCTCTTAATCCTCGATGGTCATGAAAGCCACCACTCTATCGAATTCGAGAGATATTGTGAGGAGAATAAGATTATTACCCTCTGTATGCCTGCTCATGCCTCTCATCTACTCCAGCCTCTTGATGTAGGGTGCTTTGGGCCGCTGAAAAAGGCCTATGGGCGAGAAATAGAGCGTCTAATGGGATGCTCTATAAACCACATCACCAAGATCGAGTTCTTTCCTGCCTTTCATGCCGCCCACCGAGCTACTATTACAGAAAGTAATATCAAAGGAGGTTTTAGAGGAGCTGGGCTTGCTCCCTTTGACCCAGAAAATGTCATCTCAAAGCTTGATGTGCAATTACGGACCCCGACACCTCCCGCAGAGGTCACGATACCTTCAACCCCTTGGACTGCAAGGACCCCAAAGACACTACTAGAGGCCCAATCGCATTCTAAATATCTACAGGGAAGGGTTAGAAACCATAAGAGCAGCTCCCCAGAGTCAATTATTGAGGCTGTTAAGCATTTTGAGAAGGCAACAAGCGTCCTTATCCATAAGATAGTCCTACTAGAGGATAGGCTTCAACAAGTTGAACAAGAGAATCGGATAGTAAAGCGACGCCGGAGGGGGAAAAGGACTAGACTACAGAAAGGAGGGCCTTTGACTATAGAAGAGGCATCACAAGCAATTGATCAGATGGATGTTGATACGCAGGTAGCAGCCGAATCGTCGAGAAGTGGTGGTCGCGGAAGGTCTAAGGGACCGAGGGTTTTACATTGTAGCAAATGCGGCAGGGCCGGGCATAATACAAGGACCTGTCAGGAGGAAATTGAGGTTAATTTAGAAGAATATAGCGATTAGTTTTAATTGATCTGATAATTTGTGGTATTTTTATTGCCGATTTAATTGAGAAGGTTGAGATTTTTGGGTCACTCGCTTATATGGGTCACTCGCTTATAAAACACGTTATATTTACTAAAAATATTATAATAAAATAACTAAGTTATATATTAGACTTTAAGTATATTAGATTATATAAAATTATTAGAAAAATCTTAAAAAATAATTATAAACTAGCCCTATTACTAAAAGCTAGACTTTATCTAATTACTTATATTATATTATTTAAATTAATAGTAAATATAATATAAATTAAAACTAGTAATAACTTAAAAGAAATTATAAAACTAGTAATAAACTTAAAAAAAAATATAAAACTAGAAATTTATAAAATAAAAGCAATTAGGGAAATAAAGAAAGTTAATAAAAAAGTAAAATATCTTATAAAATAAAAAATCTACTTAAAAAGTAAAAATATATAAAAACTATTAAAATACCTTATTAATACCTAATAACTCTTAAAGAATTTCTATTAATAAAAGAAAAATTAAAAACAGTAAACTAATTAATAAGATTAGTAATACTAGCCTTAATTAACTTTATAATAATTAAAGATTTAAATACTAGATTATTTACCTTTTTATAATTACTTATTAAAGTTAAATCCTTTTTTAATACTTATAGACCTTTTAATTATATTAGGCATTTCTAATAATAAAGATATATAAGTTTTAGTAAATACTTATTTAATTAATACTATAATTAAATAAGCTCCTCTTTAATAGCTTTTTTATTAGCCTTAATTTAATTCTTTTCTTAAACTAAATAATTAGCTATAAAAGATTAATAATAAAGAAATATAAAAGATTATATAAAGGGAACTAACCTTTAAATAAAATAATACCCTTTTTATTATCTTTTTAACCCTCTTTTATTATATTTTTAATATAATTCTTAATATAAAGAAAATAAGGTATAACTTTATAGCCTTAGGTAGTAATAAGTTTAGCTTTAATAAGATAATATTAAGTTTTTAGAGATAATATAATTAGTATATTAAGAGAGAATAATTATAAGGTTAAGTTAAGATATATATTAAGGAAAACTAATAAAAAATAAATAAATAAGGTCTTGAGGATAAGACTAGAGGAGGGGAAAGATTATATTATAACCCTAGTAATTATATTATATATATCTTATATTTTTTATTAATTATATATAATTATAATAAATTAAAGGATTTTAATTATAATTACTAAAATAGAGTTATTATAAATATATTAAAAATACTAATAACTTTTATAAATTATTAATAATTATTAAAATTATTAGTAATTATTAAAATTACTAGTAATTCTTATTATAACTTTATAATTATAATTAATATATAAATATATTTATTAATACTTTTATAAAACTTAGCTTCCTAGCTATTAATAAGACTTCTTTACCTTAATAAGCCTAAACTATATTATTAACTATTAAGAAATATACTACTTTACTATTACTTAATATAATGCCTTATAATACTATAAATATAAAACCTAATATAAACTAGTTTACTTATTTAAAAACCCTAATTATTATATTAGATTATTTAAAATAACTTAAAACTAAGTTTTAATATATTATAAAAATATATAAAATTAATAAGCATTAATAAGCATTAATTATATTACTATTAGTAAGGTATTTAATTAAAATATAATTTAATTTTAAAGTTATAAAAACTATTTAATTTAAAAGAGTAGATAATACTTTAATTTATTTTTAACTTGGGTTTATAAGGATTTTTTATATAATTATATTTTATAAAAAAAATAGCTAATTCTCTACTTATTAATTATAATATATTATTTATTAATAAGTATTAAGCTTATAACTTTATTAAATAAGAATTAAAGCTAAAAATATATTTAATTTAAAAATATTATTATTAAAAAGCTAAATATGAAAACTTATTAATTATTTATAATTAGTTTAAGTATTATAATTTGTTAAACTGTTAATTAATTGATTAAACTATCTGACTAGGGCCTTTTTAATGCAGCCTAGCTAATCTCTAAAAGAGGGGTAAAATATCATGTGACTCTTCCATTTTGGGAAGAGCCGCTCCTTTGACCAAAATGCCCTGCGAATTGGCATCCGGCGGTTTGACAATTTATTATTCCTTATATAATTACTTTCGTATATAGAATATATTTATTAATACTTTTATAGACTCTAGCCTACTAGCTATTAATAAGACTTCTTTATATTAATAAGCCTAATATATATTACTTAATTATTAAGAGATATAATAACTAACTTATTTAGTATAATGCCTTATATAATCTGCAAATATAAACCTAGTATAGACTAGTTTCCCTGTTTGAAACTCCAACTGTTACACTATACCTTTAAACTTAAATATTTAGATAAAGAGCTAAATCCTACTTCCGGTATTAACATCAGCTAAAAAGAATATACCTCTTCCGATTGGGACTACTTTGCAAAAACGCAGGCGTTTCTCCTACCGATTGTGTCGACGACTTTGTGGGCTTAAGACGTAATGGCAGCACTCTCACAGAACCTCATAGTCTTAATAGATGAGCTACATATACCCCGCACTGCATTCCTAATAAGTGATAGCTGCAAATATATTATAAGAGGCCCATTGGTGCATCAGAGACATATGCTAACAACGTGGTTGTATTTAACTAGCTACAGAGCAAGCCTCGACAAGCCACTTCAGCCATACAAAAACTCAAGCCACTGTACTTCTAGGAACTAATTAATTAGCACTATCCCGGCCCCCCAGTGTAGAGTAATGATAAACATTATCTTTTATATGCTCTCATAGACTAGTTCGTAACCTAACTTATCTATACATATGGTGTTACTTACTTGATAGCAGGTCTCTCGTAAGTTGACTTGAACACGGCCTGGTTGTCATTGTTCAATTGTGATCCTAGCATCATGGCACTTAGTCCGTGCCCCCAGGTTGTGGCAGCCTAGACTGATACAAGGTCAATCTCCGAATGGAAACGGCGGTATAATACTCTACATCGTATGCAGCTGACATGGCTCTTACGCCTCGTGATTGAGAGCAGCATTTAAACCATCCAGGGCCTCTTGAAAAAGATGCGTTCTCGGACTCTACGCTTGGCAATCCTTCCTGTTGTTGTTACTTTCCACCATCTCTTACCTTGTGTAGTATACACTTTAGTTATGCCTTCAAGCGATATTCTCGATGAACTTGGGACGCAAAAAGACGAGTTCATCAATCATGCTCGATCAAGAGTCTATAATTACGTCCGACAGCAGCATAGGCGCGAATTAGTCCGTATCATTGAGAAGGATGCCCATGGTCCTGGACAGCATCGGATACACTGTCCTGGGGTAGATTCATATCTGATTGTCTTGAGCTGCTTCTGTGCCAAGAAGTCGTACAATGGGCATGATCTAGACTCGGTTCTCACTGATCCCGTTGTTGAAGTCGTATGTAACTGCTATTCCGAGCTGTTGCAGAGAAATTCCGACGAGGTGAATGCGTACCTGACTCAGAAGATTCTAGCCAACGAGATTGTGTTGCAGGAGACATTGAAGATTGTGATGGGCGAACTGAGCGCCAAAGGTCTCAAGGTCTCACAAGCGAAACTGGCTACACTAATCCACGATACCATGAGTCAGGCCGTCCTGCACGCAGCGCACTCAAAGCTCGGAATGGCTGTAGGCCAAGGTGTTACGGTTGCTGCTGGCTCCACGGCCGGTCATATCCTCGCAAACTTGCTAGTCAAAGCGATAGCTCACCATGCCGCAACCATCACTGCCCATATCATGAGTAACACAATGGCCGCTACGGCAGTCAAGGTGGCTGCAAAGAAAATCTGCGTCGTTGTCATCACTGCAGTTGTTGTGAAGACCCTAGCAACGAAACTCGGGATCACGAGTGTAGGGGGCGCGATGGGCGTCATAGGATGGACATTCATAGGTGGATATCTGATGGTGAAACTCATCGGACTCCCGGAAGAGATGGCGGAAAAGGTCTCGGACGGCATAAGCAATACTCTCAACGATACCTATCGACCTTGCTTGGAGCAAATTTTAAACAGTTTGACGGAATCTGCTTCAGATCCGAAGAAGATAGCGGGTTTGATTACCTCAGAGATGATGGATCTAAACGAATTTCAGAGGGAACTTGAGCAGGGTGTTGATTTTTCTAACAAGGACCTCCCTATACTTGAGAAGGGAGTGAAGAAAGGTGTCCAGACACTCTGGGATTACCTCTTTGAAAGGCGTTAACTGAGTTCTGTATCTAAAGACGATTTCTTCTCTAGAATAGTTTCGTCTACTATATATTAATCTTATTTATCACAGAACATGTAACCTTCATAAGCGCACCATCGTCTTGACACTGTTCCCAGTCCGTCGATACTGGCTATCTCAGAAAGAGATAAATCTGACCCAAATAGTAGCTTGGCTATTTTCAATGGATTCACCATCTCAAATGGTGACCATGATCTTGACCCGTCAAATATCACATGAACTGTTCTCCGCAATCGCCATTTACAAACCCTTTCACCGAGCGGCTCAATGACCTTCCTGTTCTCCCCCGAAAACTTGTACACGAGGAAAGTTTTATCCGTATTCCTCCAGGCCACCTTGCTGAACACGAGGGCTTCGGGGGTGACCTTACTCATACTCTGATTTATCACAGATTTTGAGCCAAATCGTTGACATGTTACGAGTACCGATATCACGAACTGGATGTTCTGACAGTCAAGCCGACGGTGTCACAGTCGAGCTGCGCCCTCCTGTGCTACTCAATCTACAATTGCTTCAGTGATGTGGACAGTTTTGTGGCAGCCTGGGCACGAGTTGTTGACACCATTGATGTCAAAGCGTCGTTTACCTGTCTGGCCTGTCTTGGCCAGTCATCCGGTATGTCACGACAAAAGACCAACAAATTGCCGGACTTGTCAGTCTTGCAGATGCACTACTGCGACGATCATCAGCAATGTTTGCGGGGTAACCCCAGATCGTCCATCATGACATCCTCTTGGCGCCAACCTGTTTGCCCATGATGGTCACAAATATCACGAGAGCTCCACAAACATCACAATAACTCCACCAACAACCTTAACACTCCAACATTGCATTCAAACAAGAATCAAAATCGCTCAGTATTGCTTTTCTAAAACTAAAACTAAAATAATTATCTATTAAATCCATCTCGCCAACACCACCAACCCCAAAACCCAACTTATCAACCCCCCAAAGCTCGCACCAACACTCCTCCCCGCCAACAAACTACTCGCCGTATTATTCCCCCAAAGCCACGTCACTGCCCCAGCACCATCCTCATCATCAATACTGCAAACCATCCTGCAAACATTCTCATCCCCCCTCTTCCTCAAAAGCCTCCCCTTCGGTCCAGCGTCATCTCTCTTGCGCTTATCAGATGTATCGCTGGTGTTGTACAAAAGCTGAAGCCACTGCACCTCCATGTATGCTTCTTCGCCAGTGGTCATGTTCTGTGTCCAGACGCCGCCGTCGCCCCATGTGTTGAAGATCATGAGGGATGGGTCGTGGGGAACTTGGAATGAAATGTTGGCGACTTGTTTGCCGTTGGCGTACCAGATTGATTGGTTTGGTGTCCAGTCCATGCGGTGTTCTACCCATTCATTCCACTTGAGACCATCGGGGAGTGTTGTGTTGCGCGTTGCTTTGGGGTAGACTTCGCCTTCGACGCTGTATCCTGGATGATTCGTATAATGAACACGATCGTAGTCTTCACGAGTTAGAATCTCCATGTCGGCTTCTTGGACGTTCTTGATCTCGTCGGCGGGGACGTATGTGAACATTGCCATGCAAGCGCCTGGTGCACCTCTCACACGACCAAGGAATCTGACCGACAGGAACTGAAAGCGATCAACTGAGTCAAACTCAGATGCGACCTGAAAGTCCTCTTGTCGGTTCGTTCGCATGGAGAGATATGTTTCTGAGGCTGGGTTCTTGTCTGGGTTGGTCCGGATGTACACGTTGTTTGCCGAGTTGACCATGGGGAATCTCGCGCCATAAGTAAGAGTATCGTGACTCCTCCGGTTGCTCCAGCTTTGAATGGACCAAAAGTTCTTCCATTCCTTCTTTTTGAAGTATTTGCTCGTGACGTCTGCTTCAGCCGATGCATTCTCTCCAGCAATGGTATCCGGAATTCCAGCGTAGTCTGCAAGATTTCTAAAGTCCCAGAATCGATGTTGTGTGTAGTATTCTGGTTCAATGCCATCTGTCAGGTAACAATCGCACTGATCGGCCTCCCAATCTTCAGGCTTCGTCTCTGTCGCATTATCCTGCGCTCTCGTCACTGCGATGAGCGCGAAAACCGCGAATTTTCGTAAAGTCGCCATGTTTGTTGATGAAAGTCGTGCATCAATTGCGACATGATCAACGGGCAGATCGAATTTAAGAATAAATTAAACCTGTCCTAAGGGGTCGGATAAAGATCGATAGTGTCCTCGCTAGCACCGAATCACCGTTCCTAGCGAGCCAGAATTATCGAATATTTATGCCGTTTTGGGAATGGTTTAGTGGCAATGAGCGTGAAAACTGCGCAACGGAAATGTTTTTAATTAATTGTTACGCGGGAGAGGCCAAGAAAGTCCATTTGTTCTTGGCGATAATTGGTGCATTTGAGTGAAAATTGCGTGTTGTGCTCGTGGTGAGAGATGCCCCAGAGCGCCACTGACAACTGTCAGAAGGCTGGTGGTCGGCGATCAGAGCAGATCCGATTTCACTCATGAAGAATTATCTTGAATCTATGTATCCCTGGTTTCCGTATTACACATGCCAGTCGATTAAGTTAAGCTTGTTTTTGAGACATGCATCGGTCTGGAAACCGTAACATTAAGTGCTACATTCCTCAAGCCACTTAAATCATGCATGAATTTGGGCTCCGTGGGTTCATCACCATCTTCAATTGGGGCATCTCAGCTTGAGGATTCCAAGCATTCACGCGAACAATACCGTTCTCTCGCCATCAATCCTTTCGCGCAGCTCATCTCAATTTACATAATAACTAGTAAGACAAATTAATATTCATAGACATTCGTGACTGGTTAGCTGTCTGCTCATACTCATGCTCAATTGTTAACTTTTTAATTCCCATCACTTACCCTGAACCCTGAGGTACAACTGCTGGGTGTATGTCAAGGATAAGTTGATTCACTAGCTAGGTGGGCCCTGAGGGCGTTGTTTGTGTGTTGGTGCCCACACGTGACCGTGGCTCCAACATTTGCCGTCAACCTTCTGGCAACGTCCTCGTTGCGAGTCTAGCTATTCGATAGTACAATCTTAGCCCTTATCTTATCCCGTATCTTGTCTCCCCAATACAGCTAGCTCAGACCTCTCTTTGCTCCAGACTGAAAATTGGCGGGGGGGAGCCCAATACGACGAAAAATGACATGTAAACGAATCACCAACAACCTCCGCGGCCTAACGGAGAGCGACTCAGTATACAACGCTAAATCTCACAATTCAACACATCACATTTCTTACCAAATTTAGCGAAATGAAGTTGCGTATTGTCGCCATTAGTGCTGAGACGCGTCATGATGCGACAGATCACACGGAATTTGAACCCGAGATCAACAGACCGAGCGCGATGATGGCTGGGGAAAAGGCATCAAGAATGGAACTTGATATCAAGTGGAGGACATGGAATGCGTCAAGTGACCAAGTTGAATCAAGATGCATGTGAAGCGGAGTGAAGGAGATGTCAAGATGTGTATTACTCTAAGCTATTACTCTTGCGATAAAATGAAAATCTAGTCAACCTATTTTCTTACGCCAGCCAAAGAAACAATCGCACAAAACAAATGGAGACCTCAATCATTTGCACCAACTCTCAACACGAACACCCTCCAACTCTGCCAGCAGAGAAAAGTCCATGTTGTGCTGCTTCATAGCCACAACAATCACATCAAATGTCTCCAAGAAGCTCTTGTTCCAATCACCCTCACCAAGACGAGGCACTTGAGGAACAGCTTCTTGCTTGACCAGAGCATCAGCCCACGTGAGGTCAATCTGAGCACCTGAGACAGCCAAACTTCGAACAAGGTCAACACCAGGTGAGTTGTCAAGCTGAGATTGACCAGACTTGAAACCAAGACCAACGACAAGTACGCGTGAGCGACGCTCGGTGATGGGGAGTGAGTCAATGAGACGTTGGGCAAGCTTCACAGGTCTGTTGTTCATAGCTGATGAACAGGCTTCAAGCAGGGGAAATGAATTGTTGGAAAGGAGATAGTAGGGGTTGACGGGAATGCAGTGTCCACCGACACCGACGCCAGGGGCATAGGGCATGTAGCCGAATGGCTTGGTAGATGCTGCGGAACAGACCTCGTAGGGGTCGATACCGTGATGGATACACGCATCAGCCATTTCGTTGGCGTAGGCGATGCAGACCATGCGCTGACAGTTCTCGTATAGCTTCATCATCTCGGCGACTTCAGGCTTGGAGACGGTGACGACGTTGTCAAAGATGGTGGAGTATATGCGGTTGATGGCATCGAGGGAGCCGGGGAGAATGTCGTCAAGACCTGAGATGATCTTGGGGATCGACTTGACTGGGGGTTCGGTACGGCCTGGGTCAACACGCTGTAGTTACGAGTCAGTAAGAGTCATGGTGATGAGAGACGATTGATGAGTGAACGTGTCACATACCTCTGGAGACATGCCAGCAAAAAGACCAAGTCTCTTGGCGATGGGTCCGACCAACTCACGGGTCATACCAACAGCAACAGAGCTCTCAATAACAATAGTTGAACTCCGGCGGGCAACCTGACAGACCATTTTGAGAGCATCACGAAGGTATGAAGAGTTAATAGTCTTGTCAGGTCTCAGGAGTGTAGGCACCGAGATGAGAAAGTGGGTAGCAGAAACAAGATCATTCTGAGTTCGTGAGAAGGTGACATTCTCATTACCCTTGAACTCTTGTCGAAGATCTTCAATGCGTCTCTCGGAAACATCGAAGCCGATGACTTGATATCTTGATGAGAATGAGCTGACGAGATGTGTTCCGACGTAACCGACTCCAACGACTGCTACCACGGGGATATCGTCGGGAGTGACATCGGCAGAGACTTTGAGGGTGAGGTCTGTTTCTGAGGGGACGGAGCTCAGGGGAGGAGTGTCTGGGTAAAAGGGGGATTCGGAGGAAGAGTCAGAGGGAGTCAACATGCCAGTGAAGTCCTCCATCTTGGCAGTAGGTTCAACCATATTAAATCAAGTAGATGAAAACAGAGCGAGTATGAGTGAGAGAAATCTAAAACTGAGTGAGAAAGATTCAGTAATGATCCACCGGCTCATACAAGAAGGCAGCTCATCCCCAACATCTTAAGTATTCCTCCCTCCAAGGCCCAGACTACCACTTGCCAAAACTTTAGGCAGCCTCATCCGTCTTCACAATACTCAATTATGCACATTATCGCGTCAGCCTGACCGGTCAGACCGAGTGAAAATCTCTTCCAACACTCTGAAGCCTGGCAGATGGCTTGTGAGCCTGCTCCAGTGTGCTGGAAGCTCAAGGACGCCACCGAGAAGAATAGCTGTGTGGTTCCACTGAGGATCCCGGTTCATGCTAATTGTGAATGGCTTCTAATAGTCCGCGGTGTGGATTGAACAAGGTGAGCCTCGTTCTTTTTCAAATTGGTAGTGAGACTCTGGTTGAGTGACACTTGTATGATGAGCACATTTTCGACGGACTGGCCTGTGGAGCCCCCTGCAAAACGGACACCGTACACGGTAAAAGTCCGTTTGGCCAGGTAATACCTGTTATTGATGAACCGAGAAGTTCGTGAAAATTTCCTAAATAGTAGAGAAGTCTGCAGATCGAACAGGAAAAAGTGACAGGGACTATTGATTCAGCCGAGCCCGCAACCTGAAGTTGTGCTATGAACACAAGAAGTGGATTATCAAACTCGAGAATAAGTCCGGCCTGAGATGGACGAGCATAAACAAAACAAAAAGTCAAGCTTGTTTACCGGATCTCCCCACATACTGAACCAATTCGGAGCGTGCGTTGTTGAAAGCTGAGTGAGTGTATCACGTAGTATGTCGACCGATTTTCTGGATTTTGCGGCTCTTGATCCTTTAGATCCGCCTGGGAAGATTACAGGGGCAGGGGGGTGAATTAAGCCTCCTTCGGTCTAGATTCATGGCATCCCAGGGGTGGATTGATGTAGTGGGCACTAAAATAAACACGGCAGAGACGGAACTTTGCCAAGATGAGAAAAAAGCAACAACAAGCCAATGTGCCGCAATACAGCATGATTTTCCATCATTGAGAGAACAAGACCGTCACTTCTCATGTACGAAAGAAGAAAAAATGCATGAATCTATGATCTGGGGGTTGAGTTTTTCCCATGCTGCATAACTGGAACGCGGCAAGACTGGTGAGACACGGGAGGACCTTTTCCTCTGTGTGTCTCAATTCTCCTTTTGGTCTGGTAGACATTCGGCATTAAGATAGCCTTAAAACCAAGACAGGTTTGACGTGGGTCCTTGTTAACGAATTGGGCTGCCAAGTTGACGCATTATTTCCATTTGTGGCAAAAGAGGCCCAAAGTAAAAATTTGATGGTTGCTATTGCGCATTAGACATGTCAATAGAGGTTGCTAAAGCCAAATTATTTGATCAGAATGTCATTGAATGGTGATTGAGGCTGGCTGATGGTCACTTTAAATCTGTTAGCAAGTTCATTGGACTAATGTGCTGTTGAAATTGAGATGAGTGATAAGATCTAAGCTTAATAAAGGTGAGAACGTTATACCCAAGGTTAATACGAGAGATCGTATCCGTACACTGGCTTGGAAAGGTTAGGGCTTGAAGCTCAGGTTCCTGTGCTACTCCCGTCTCAACCGATTGGTTTGATTCGTCAAAAAGGAGGGGACGGTGAGCCCAAGAGGTTGGGAAATTAGCAGGGGTGAGTCACCAAAACACGTTAGCCTTAACGATCCCGCTGCGGCGCTAAACTCTGTTTCTTAGTGGATGATCAGGGTTTCTTTCCGTGGTTGAATATTTGTGCAAGTGAACAAAATATGCAATTACAAGGGTAGTGAAGAAGATCTTCCAAAATCCCTGGTTAGATCGTGTCAGTGAGCTTTAGTGATTAGTGAGGCAGACTATTGAATCAGATTAGACATCTTTGCATCAGCGCTGTCTAAAATAGAAACGACGTCTCAGCAAATAAGACTACCGGGACCTCATCGTGTTGGATCATTTTTTGAGACGAGAAAAAAATTGAGGGATCTATTATGATTTATAACTTGTTCCCCCTCACCCGCAACGCTACGCTCATACGGCATAACTTAGAGATATGTTTCTTCAGAGTTTGTCTTGGAGAAAAAACGGTAATTTACTCATTTGATCCCCTGACGAGAAGCCTGGTAATATTGAGCATTTCTCTTTAGGGGTTTTCATACAATATTATGGAAAATCACTGCATCTACCGGTTAACGACCCGGTGTGTCGAAGTGGATCAATATCCTACTAGGGTATGAGGATCAACAGCAGGGATGTCCTCTTTTACCGCTCAGGAGAATCTCTTCCGTCGATCCATTTACCCAGCAAGGTATGAAGCTTGTTCCATGCTCATGTGTTGGCAGTCTCGATTGGTCTCTTGATGTTGTCATGTCCTGGGCCTGAGTCGCAATCCAATATTAATGCATTTCCCCTTACTAGTGTCTGGCCGTTCCAAAAATGGCTTCTCTGTGCCGTCTCCTTTTGGTTCTGCCGGCAGAGGACCTAGACTCTGCCAAGTCACTCTCAACTCCCACGACCAAGACCAAAGCTACCGGGAGCCGTGAAGTGGATACCTCGGTCATTACAGCAGACTATTGATACATGCTTCTTTTTTTGTAACCTCAGCTGGCCCGGTCCAACTCGATGGTCACTGCACAGAAAAAGCACATGCCATCGATCCAGGCCTCTGGTAGCTATCCAGCCGAGAAGATCTATCGCAAGGGTCTTGGCCCGAGCATCAGACCCCTACCGCCTTGACAACGGAGAACTCCAGCTCTCCCAGATGGGCCTCAGCCAGCCATGTTTGTTCCTATTCAAGGCTGAATGGCTAGATGCCTCTGGTCCGTTTAGCGTACAGGGACTATTGTTTGCGTGCGCGCTGAGGCAAATGAAGAAGAAAAGCCTTCTCTCGATGAGGAAGCATGTGTTATTTAGTTGACGACTTCACGGGTAATTTGACGCTTTCCTCTCCCTTCATACTTGGGCCACTGCAGGCATTTGCACTGCTTTTACCTCATTCCACCTTGTCCACTCGTTCCTTGGTGTTTCACGACATTCGTGTCCTTCCTGTTCTCTTCCTTTCTCACATCCCCTTTTGGATAACGTGGTGTCACGATGGCTTCTCTAAACACTGATACTGCTCGTTCCATCCTCATTGGGAAGCAAAAGGTTCGTCACATGGTTATACCCAACTTGCCCCCCCTTGACTGACATCTTCTGAAACAGGTCCAAGTCCATGCTCATGCCAAAATCGTCCATGGCAAAGACCGCCGCAATGGTTCAGATGTCTCAGACACTGAATACCCTACCGTTCCTATCCCCGCCTTCCTCGCCGAGGAAGCTTCATCAAACGACAGCTATCGCGCTTCACAACCTCCCTCTCTGAGATCATCATTGAGTCCAGAGTCGGTCGGTTCACCCGACACCAACACCACAGCGCCCGCTTCCGTGATCGGACACTCTGAGTCAAAGGGTCACGACCTCATTGCTCCTATTCCTCGTCTTCCTCTCTCGATTAGCAATAACACATCTGTTGGTTCTCGATCTGATGCTGGCCACTCTTCTACTCCTTCGGTTGATAATGAGATCACACCTGTTCCTCAACCCTCGGCTGAGCGCGATAATGCTCCCGAGTTTAAGAAAGATGGTGCCGATCAGGCTAAGCCCAAGGTTGAGACTGCCGCTGAAGATGATGTTGGTAATGCTGTCTTGTTGAAGCGCGGTAAGAGAAAGGTCACTACTCAAAAATACATTCTCACATCTGGTCTGATTGCAGTCAAGTAAGTTCATCTCACTTCATTCATCTCATTCCATCTCACTCATACTGACTCGCATCTCAGCTTCATGTTCATCTTTGCCAGTTGGTATTGGCCCAGGTACTACTTCATCTACCTCCCCTTCATTTCCTTCCCCCTCGTCCTCAACTGTGTCATGATTGCTTCCATCGCCGTCTTCACCTTCATCCACTGGGTCAGTCCCGAGAAGCAAATCAAGCCCGAATCCCCCGAGAACATGGTCTACGTCATTCCCTGCTACAATGAGACATTCGAAGAGTGCACTCGCTCCCTCGACTCCCTTGTCAACCAGACCGGTCTTGAGAACCACAATAAGGGCATCATGGTCATCTGCGATGGTCGCGTTCGTGGTCCTGGCATGACAAAGACCACTGGCGATTACCTAAATGAGGATATCTTCCTTCACCAGACACAGAGGAAGAAGATTCGTGGCGCTTACACTGCTTGGGACGGCCAGGAGATGGACATTGAGATCTCCAAGGGCTTCTACAAGGGCATGCCCTTCTACTGCATCGTCAAGGACCAGAACCAGGGCAAGCGTGACAGTCTCATTGTTATTCGATCATTTCTCTACAAGTTCAACACCCGTGCCCAGAACCCTGAGTCCATCTTCTCGCGCGAGTTCCTTGACTCCATGACCAGCTGGCTTGAGAATGAGGTCAAGATGGATAATGTCGATCATCTCATTGGAATGGATGCCGATACCGTCTTTGAGGAGAAGTGTGTCACTGAGCTTCTCAAGGAGTCTTACTACCCCAACACTGTCGGTGTCTGTGGTTACGTCGCTGTTGACTTCAAGGATGGTAACTGGAACCTCTGGTCCATCTACCAATCTGCCGAGTATACCATCGCCCAGGGTCTTCGTCGTCTTCATCAGTCCATCGCTACCAAGAAGGTCTCTTGTCTTCCCGGCTGCTGCCAGCTCCTCAAGATCTGCGACGAAACCTGTGGCGATCTCGTTCTCATCGACCTCTTCGGCTACTTCCCAAAGCACATGGACGGTATGCTCAAGCGTATCCGTGCTACAGCCTCAGAGGATCGCAACCACATTTGCCAATTGCTCGTCACCTTCCCTCACGCTCAGACTCGCCAGGCTCTTCAAGCCCGAGCTTATACTGATGTCCCTCACTCTTGGAACGTCTTCCTCTCTCAGCGTCGTCGATGGACCCTTGGTGCTACTAGCAACGATCTTCTCCTCTTCTGTGCTTGGAACACTCAATGGTGGGAGCGCATCGTTGCCTTTTCCAACGTTCTCACCTGGTCTCTCAACGTGTTCGTCATTGCATCGATTGGTTGTATGATTGTCGCTTTCATGAGTCAACCTTGGTGGTTGATCATGTGTTTCGCTGGTGTCATGATCATTCCTCTTCTTTACTACGTGATCATGGCAACTTGGCTCCCTCGCAACCTTGTTGAGCGTGCTCAGTTCATTCTGGGTCTCGCTGTTTTTGTCTTCTTGGGTCCTTTCCTCAACATTGCTGTTATGCTTTACGCTGTTGTCAACATGGACAACTTTGGTTGGGGTAAGACAAGAAAGGTTATCACTGATGACTCTAAAGAGGAGAAGTCATCGCAGAAGGAGGGTGTTGTCTCCGATAGCAGCTCGGCTGAGCCTAAGGAGAAGACTGCTACTGCAGTGTAGGGTTTGGAGTTTCATAATGGGATGGGCGTAAAAAGGCGACTAGACGTTACATATCAAGAACATACATAAACATTAGATAAACATAATTCATTGTAATATATATCTTGGTTTCCTTTCTCACTTGAAATGAAGTGACTTGCCTCTTAGCGATGCGCCTCATTGTCTTCATTCATCTTGTCACTGTTGGCTTGGATGACTTGAAGCATGTCACATCGCAAGGTTCACTGACCCAATGACCTGAAGTTGTGTGTACTAACCCGACTGAGGAAGATTGATTGCTAAATCACGTACTTTCGGCTCGGTCGAGATTCGAGAAGAGTCAATATGCGACGCGACATGGCCAGACCACGTGAGACTGCGCACTTCCCGGTGCCTCTCTATCGCACAATTCGCCTGTTATGGATCAATTCCCGCCTAGTAAATTGGCTATCCCGCTCGTCCCTACAACGGCTTCCTTCTCGGGACTGGGCCGCCCTCTACGCAGCTCTTTTGTATTCCCCCATGATGTTTTTGACTTGATCTTCATACCAGATCCATTCATAATCCCCTTTCAGATTTCGCCACTACAGGACAACCTGGGCTTCCAGCAGACCGTGGTGCAGTTGTTGGGTGAGGTCCCGTCTAACAAATATTGAACGAGGTCATTTGTAATGTAATGCGAGCATCTGGGAACTCTTCTTGATCAAGTTGCCATTCACGTATGAAAGGGATCTTGTTGCCACCAACGTAATTGCAGATACTTAATTGAACCACCTTAACTGTCCTCGATTGTTCAAGAGTATGAGACAGATTGACCTTCTGATCTTGCTCTACAGAACCGCCGGCTCAGAACTCGTGCATCTATGATAAATGACTAATAGAGAGCCAAATGGTGGACCAACCCAACTTGAGGCACATTGTATAGAAGCAAATAGTTTGCTGAACTCTGCAAATGTATATGACATAAAGATGACATCTAGCCGACTCTTGGGTCGCGTCAAGGTTCATAATCTTCGCGGCTTCCATGTACAGAATCTCAGATAACATGAAGATCATTACCATCCTCGCCCATGGCAGGACAAGAATCTTCTGTATCAATCTCAATGACACATCCACTCGACGAAGAAATCGCAATCCCGATAAAATCCCAGTTCGTGTTCCCTCTACCTTGCCCAAACTATTTCCGTCATTGTCCTTGACCTCACAGCTCTGCGGATTTCCCGCAATGTTGGAGACGCAGAGGAATTTGCGAGGTGCACTCCAGCAAATTCCCTCAATGGCGAATTCGCGACCATCGTCGATCTGACATGCTGCGTAGCCGCCGGGATATGCCTCGGTGAAGATGGCGTCGCCGTTGTCGTCGATTATGACAAAGTTACTCCAGTGGCCGTTCTGGTTGCCGCCGTTGGGGCCGGAGATGGTGGAGAAGTCGCCTTTGCTCCAGACGATGCGGAGATGCTCGGCGATGACGGGGGAGGTGAGAGCTGCGAGGCTGAGGATGGTGGTGCGAAGAGCGAACATTACGAAGTGTAAATGGTTGACTGGAGGTTTTGAGAAGGTTGTTGAGTTGGTTTGAGTGTAGATGGTGGTGAAGAAAGACGATCGACGAGGAGCTTTGAAGATATTTATACTTTATCTGACAGTCTTGGGCAGCCCTCACAACTTTATGGTTCTGTGTCCTTGATTTTCTTCTTGATCTAGTCTGTGAGGCTGCATCCGACTCAAGATAATAGTCCATGTTAATACTTGGAGGATTGAATCCCATCACTTACACGCGAGCCATGTTGATCTGTCCCAATTCGTCGCTAGCGCTGACATTCTCAGGTGCTGAGCTGAGAAGGGTCAGTGCATTACGAAATTGTCACGATAAAATTCCGATGACCTTACATATTCGGTCAAGTCTATAGCTGCGAACCTGCTTTTGGTCGTATTCGAATATCTTTCGGTCTTGTCGCTTTCCCAGAGAAGAGAAATCTTTCCGAGGTAGCCAATCGGGCTTGTCAAGATGGCAATTATTTTCCGAGCCTGTACACCAGTGTATAACATCATTCTCATCGCTTCATGCAGGTTCATTGGGCGATCTGTTTCGCGGTGTCACGTTACGGTGGCAGTGACCTGCAAGAGTCAATTTGGTTCAGCACCTGGAGACTTCCGCCCTACTTCTGCACAATGATCGAGATGAGCTTCTTGACCTTGGCTCACGATCTTTATACACAAATCTTGTACCTCCTGGAAGAACCCGATAAAGCAAGTCACAGGAGCAATTGAGTCCCCTAGAGCTCGGTGCACGGCCTACAAGCACAGTCAACTGTGCTAGACGCTGAGGACGCGGACGCTAAGCGAATGCAGCTCAATTCGGAGGTCAACTTCTCAGTCGGTTACTGACCGCTGGGGCGATCGAGATGCTACGAACGGGATTCCGAGTTCGTGAATTCCTTGTTTCTTGAATAGCAATCGCGCGAGGAGTGGAGATGAATGGACTACCCCAGAAAGCGGGTAACAATTACCGCCCTTGGGTTGTGATTCGGTCCTGACGAGAACTGGGAAGAGCAGGCAAGATAGTACTTATTTACTGATACCCGCCTGGCATTAGTTTGTCTAGTGTTCCACTGTATATACCCAAGCAGGGGATTATCCATCAATGAATCTGCATGATTGCATTGCCTCGTAGTGATGCCTTCATTGATATGATTAAGCACCCAAGTCACTCGATGATTATTTGAGAACATATCGAGGTGATCTGACGGGGAGACTTCCAGATGTGAAATTCGGATGGTATTGATATCATACTGGCTGCCACCTTAGCGGCTAGATATGACACCGGTTTCAAGCCACAGCGGCAATCAGATCACCATCATATGAGCGACATAAGCGACATATGATCTGATCAATTGCACCCCTAGATATTGATGCTGGCTGACAAATTCCTTGGATTGAAAAAATACTCCCAAGACAGAAAAGGAAGCCACTTGCTGGTGCAGCGTCATCAGTAACTCATACGTCGCGAGATCAATTAGCTGCAGCAGCCGTCTTACAACATTTCTATTTCAGTGCTTCCAGATTGTTAAGAAGTATTCTGCTTACCCCTCTTTGAGGATAACATGATGTTTCCAAGGTCGCATACAGAAACTCAAAAGGGTGGGGAAATAAGAGACACCTTCTGTGAAGCAACGGCGAGATGACAGTTTAGTGACACATGAACTGTCCCATCAGATGATAGATGGGAAAGCTTAAGAGTCATCGTCTGGAGAACTTTTATTCAGTGAGATTCGCAAACTTAAATGCTAATGCTTATAAAACAGAACAAGACTCAGGTCCTCATTTGACTGTTTGGAGGTTTGATACATATCACTCAAGCAATTATCAACGATGAATGACGACTGGACTGCTGAACCTCTGGTTCTCGATTTTGAGCATCTGGCTCGAAGCGACGTCGGCTTAGTCGGCGGCAAGAATTCCTCTTTGGGCGAAATGATTCGAGCCCTCGGACCCAAAGGAATTCCAGTGCCACCAGGCTTCGCGACATCATCCTATGCTTACTGGCACTATGTCGATGCCAACAACATCCGGGGCAAGATTGATGACCTCGTCAATCAATGGCAGTCTGGCCATCAAACACTTGCTGAGATAGGTCACGACATACGCACCCTGTTCCTGCGTGGAACATGGCCAGCTGATACTGCAGAGGCCATCCTGTCTGGGTATCGCGACTTGTGCGATAAGGCCGGGATTGACGATCTGAGCGTTGCAGTGCGATCTAGCGCCACGGCTGAAGACCTTCCCGACGCGAGCTTCGCTGGACAGCAGGAGACGTACCTGAATATCCAGGGGGGTGAAGCACTGCTCGATGCCTGTAGGCGATGCTACGCTTCACTTTTTACAGATCGAGCTATCAGCTATCGCCAGATCAAGAAGTTCAATCATGGAAACGTGGCTCTCTCTATTGGGATACAACAAATGGTTCGCTCTGACATCGGCGGCGCGGGTGTCATGTTCTCCATCGACACAGAGAGTGGCTTCGACAAGATTGTTCTTATCAATGCTGCCTGGGGCCTTGGCGAGAATGTTGTCCAGGGCACCGTCAACCCAGACGAGTACCAGGTCTTCAAGCCTCTCCTGTCTAATGAGAAGCTATCGCCAATCCTGAGCAAGAAGCTCGGCGACAAGGCAATCAAGATGGTGTACGGGGATAAGTGCAGACCGACCCGTAATGTGCCTACGTCCAGGGCTGAACGAGCTGCCTATGTTCTTGAAGATGAAGAAATTCTCCAACTAGCACGATGGGCACGCCTCATCGAGGAGCATTACAGCTGCCCGATGGACATGGAGTGGGCTAGAGATGGCGCCTCCGGAAAACTCTACATTGTCCAGGCCAGACCCGAGACTGTGCAGTCGCGTCGTGACACGGCTGCCTTCAAGACCTACAAGGTTGGTGAACGTGGTCACACCTTGACCACTGGTCTGTCCATTGGCGACAAGGCAGTTGCTGGGCGTATCTGCTTGCTTACCTCGGTCTCGGACATGGATCAGTTTGTCGACGGCTCGATCCTTGTGACCGAGTCTACAGACCCCGACTGGGTGCCTGTCATGAAGCGAGCTGCCGCTATCGTCACTGACTACGGTGGGCGGACCTCTCACGCCGCTATTGTCAGTCGAGAACTGGGTGTTCCAGCGGTAGTAGGTACCGGGAACGCAACCTATGTTCTGCATACTGGTCAAGACGTCACTGTGTCATGTGCAGAAGGCGATTCAGGTCTTGTCTATGATGGAATATCAGAGATCACCACCCAGATGGTGCACATATCCGAACTCCCCTCTGTCCGGACAAAGATCATGCTGAATCTGGCCAACCCTGCAGCTGCATACCGCTGGTGGAGACTCCCAGTTGATGGCATTGGACTCGCTCGTATGGAGTTTGTGGTCAGCAATTCTATTCGGGTTCACCCCATGGCTCTTATTCATTTTGATCATCTTGAGGATGAGGGAGCTAAGAAAACGATCACCAATCTGACGGCAGGCTATGCTAACAAGCCCGATTACTTTGTGGATAAGTTGGCATCTGGCCTCGCAACTCTGTGTTCTGCTGTCTATCCGAAACCAGCAATCATCAGGATGAGTGATTTCAAGACGAATGAGTACGCTCGTCTGATAGGTGGTGCCGAGTTTGAACTAAAGGAGGAGAATCCTATGATCGGATTCCGCGGCGCCTCGCGTTACCACTCGCCCCGTTACAAGGAGGCCTTTGCTCTAGAATGCCGGGCTGTTAAAAAGGTACGAGAGGAAATAGGACTCACCAATGCCATCGTCATGATACCATTTTGTCGAACAGTCAAAGAAGCCCGAAAGGTGCTGGACCTGATGGAAGAGAATGGCTTGAAGCGGGGGGAGAACGGCCTCATGGTATACGTCATGTGCGAGATTCCATCCAATGTCATCCTAGCCTCGAGCTTCACCCAACACTTTGACGGGTTCTCCATTGGGTCCAACGATCTGGCCCAGCTCACACTCGGTGTAGACCGAGACTCTGGGGAGTTGGCAGGTTTGTTCAACGAGCAGGATGAGGCTGTCAAGTGGATGATTGCCAGAGCCATTACAGTGGCTCGCCGAGAGGGATGTAAGATTGGACTTTGCGGTGAGGCACCGAGCAATCATCCTGAGTTTGCCAAGTTCTTGGTTGATGCGGGAATCGATTCCATCTCTGTCAGTCCGGATAGTTTTGTTCAGGTTATGAAACATGTGGTGGCTAGTGAGCAGGGCTCGTAATTAGCTATTTGGATGTTGTTAGTGGTATGTATGTCGTATGTCACTTATGCGTCGATCAATTGACATTGTTACATCAGAAGAGGAATGGAAACTACGATTATTCTTACTTTGAGTGGATCTTGCTAGGAGGAAAAGTCTTTCTTACAGACCTGGTGATATCAGTAGTGATAGTTGGCAATACAAAAGAACGTGGAATTCCACGGAAAATAACAACCTTAGCGGGAATCTGCTTGTATCCCAGTGTTTCACAGAGACACCTTGTTTGGACCATAAAACGAAAGGGCAAAATTAGAACAATTAAACCTATTAACTATAAACTTGCGAACGCCAAGAATCGTCAATACCAGTCTCGCTGGACTGATTCAACGCTGGCTTTCAATAGCTCCCCCGATGCCTTTACTGCCGCATTCTCATCTTCATCCATCACCAGCGGAACTGAACTCAGGATCCCCTTCCTCCCCATAACAGCTGGCGAGCTGAGACAGCATCCATACTCCTCTTGAAAGTGACTGACCGGGTACGTCTCATGCTTATCAAAGATGACAGAGCAGCACAAGTTAGCAGCGACTGAAGCGATTCCGAACGGTGCAGATCCTTTCCCCAGTATGATATTATGCGATCGATGCTTGCAGATGAGTTCGATCTTACTGCGATCGATAGCAGTCAGCATCTTCACATCAGCAATAGGGACCGCGCCAACGGTTGCTGCAGACCACGCGACTACTTGGTCGTCTCCGTGGCGGCCCACGACGAATGCATCTACAGCAGACGGCGATACCTATGATGGTGCTGTTTTAGAAATGGGGTAGGTCAAATATAACAATGCTCACTCACCAAAGCACGAGATGCAACCATCCCACGAAGCCTATGAGTGTCGAGAACAGTACCAGTACCAATGACCTGAGATGCAGGAAGTCCCGACATCTCTTTGGCGATAGATGTAAGCAAGTCAACAGGATCTGCCACAATTAGCAGAACCGTGTCAGCTCGAAAGGGTTTCATCGCCTCCATCACCTCACGTATCATCGAAGTGTTCCGAGACGTATAGTCAACAGTTGTCTGACCTTGGAAGAATCATAAGCCTATATCCCATACATGTGCCTGGATACATACCCAGCATGTGTTTAGACGCAGCGGTTATGACCACGAGATCGCTCTGAGCAGCCTCACGGTACGTGGCTGGACGTACACGTGTACTGCCGTTAGTGCTATACGTGACATCGGAGAGGTCTTCGATCTGAGCATTTCTGATATTGAGATCGAGGTCGACGAGAAGCAACTCGCTCGCCATGGAATTCAACGTGAGGTTGTAAGCGACGGCACCGCCGACTTCGCCGACGCCTACAATCGCTACTCGGGTTGCTGAGCCCATTGCGTGCAGTCAGATTACTCGAAGAGTTGGTGTCCCGCTGTGCGTTGACAGTGTGCCGTGATTTATAAGACCCGAGGGATGAGCAAATGAATTGTGGCGTAATTAGAGTTTCTGGTGTTGTGATGGTGTTCTGATATTTGATACTGGTGGCTGTCAGTAGTATCGAAGGGTCACGCCACAAGGGAGAGGCATTACAATAATTAGGCAATTATTTGCAGGAGGCCATCGTGAAATCAGATCATCGCCTGTTGGGTTGTTTTCATGGAGGCTATAGATTGTGTTTTGAGAGTTCTCGCTAGCGGTTTAGTTCGGTTGTTGTGTTAACCGAGGTCCCTGATCTGACTGCCCCTTCGAATAGTGATATGATCTAGGCATGTATTACAACCATGTCACAGCACCAGCATGACACTATTCTTAGCATATCATGGAATCACTTCGTATCCTATAGCCACCTCATGATCTAAGGTTAGCACTGTTACTAGAGATGAGTTCTATCCTCGGTGTCATTTGGAGGAGGCAATACAACTGCATCACCAGAAATTGGTTTCAGGAGGCATTCCAGTCAAGTATAAGATGCCATTTCAAGCAGCCACGTTATTTCCATCATCATCAACATTCACTCACTATCATATGAGTCAAGCAATCGTTATACTAAACGCAATCCTCATCATGAAGGTTATCCCTCTTCTCACTATGGCTGCCCTCGCAGCAGCTACCCCGGCTCCTAAAGGCTGCACGCCTGGAACCTACTCGTGCACGCCCGACCTCAAGGGCTGGCAGGTCTGCAACGTCGACCGCACCTGGGTGGTAAGCATCTCCGTTTCCTAGCGGCGGCTGACAGGGATGGGAAAGCTAACTGGGCCACTACCCTTTAGTTTGCCGGTGCTTGTCCTCCCAAGACGGGTTGCCTGTTCAACAAGCAGAATGGCTCGCCATATTGCGTGCCCCCTGGCTTTCATTTCTAGACTGTTCCGATCTGATACTGGCCAGGGATTGTTGTTTCCTCGCTGTTGCGCTTCGCTGAATTTTCTGTTACTTAAGTCTGGAAGCTTGCTTAGTGGGGTATACGAAGGCTCTGATTAGCGTATCTTGATGTTAATTCCTGGCGGCGTTAGTGTGGATATGGTGCCGGCTCCTTGTAGATAGCTTCCTTCTTTAATTTATGCTTACTTTCTCTTATCACATGTACACGCTGAAGGGTGTAATGTCTGGCATAGAAAACTAAAGACACATGCATACATGGCCTAGTCGCTAAGTGATTGTTTGCCATATTACTACATTACCGGAGCAGATGGTGCAGTATATGATCTCTTAGGCATGCTGGGCTAATTATGTTTCCTTTTATCAAGTACTTCACAAGACGTATGCAGAAAGGCTTGAGAATGAGAGACAAAAGCAAAGATGCCAATAAAGAGACGAAAATCCTAAATAGCCAGTCTCAGCAGCTAATCATACAATTTCTCGACTGGAATTGATAATCTTCGAACGAAGAAGAAACACATTTCCTATTGGCCAGGTCAACCTCCAATCACCAAATGGCTTACATTCAGACATCCTTTCCGTGCTTGTAATGCGTATCGACAACAGTCTTGATCTCAACAGTGGTGTTCTCTCCAGTCTCCGCGACTGCGTGAGCAAGTACGTCCTCTCCATATGGCCACTCCCCCTTCATCTTCTCCGGCGTGTCATACTCCGCATAGTCAAGAGGGTCAAGCAGCTCCCATGCTGCTTTCCTGGCATCAGCACGGTGAACAAAGGTCCCCTCTATCTGCATCTCCTGCACGCAGCCGGTCCGATCTTTGTTGTAGTCGATGACGGTCTGCGTCACGTAATGAAGCGAAGCTATCCCCTGGGGTAGCAAAATAGCGCCATCGCGATCTGCGAGGAGCCGTTCGGTGTTGGGTGTTACCTGGATAGATACCAGAAATACCTGGCCTGCAGGAGCTTTAGCGTAGATGAGAACGCCATCGCCATGATCCCAGGTTCCAGTATGGCTTGAATGGATGGCGTATTCGATGAAATCATCCGGTTTGTACTTTAGTGTATGAAGGACCCTGAAAGCTAAGTCTTTGGCGGGTTCGAGTGCTGCGCGTGTGCCGAGGATGTAGACCGATCGTTTGGCTCCCGATGGGTCGAGATGAAAATCGATGACGGTCAGGATGATGTGGTAGAGGAGTTCAGAACTGTTCGACATGATGAAGAACATTCAAGTAGATGATAGATACATGAACAGAGTGCTAAGTAATGGCTGGATGAATAGGGTGTTTGTTGGATCAAGAGCAATGCGAGTAACGGTAGGGACCACATAGAAATATACTCAACTGACCGATCTTCAAGGAAAGCATATCGCGATAGTAACCAAATGGGGGACATTGTCTCGACTCTTCCTCATTCGTTATGCCATGAAGGCGTCACGCTATAGATCCACTAGAACCTTCCAGTGTCTTGTGATTCCTCGTCAAATCATTCTCACATGATCCTTGTTTTTAGTGTAGAGGTTGCCCATATGCAGAGCTATCATATGCTAGTCACAAGAACAGGTTGTTGTGCGGTCAGTTGTTTGAACCGGTCATTCAGCAGATTGGATTAATAAAATGTCGTCGGATGGGTGTCCGTGATATCTGATAGGTTGAAGGAGAGTGGTCCATCATGTCATGTTGCGTTGCTTTCGTGGTATGATGCTAACGCCACAGGCGATAAATAATGGTGGCGTCGATCATATCATATCATGACCCGAAGCCTCGGAAACACGTTTACATCCGATTTTCAATGAATGACTCAAAGGTCAAAGGTCAAAGGCCATAGGTCATATCAAACACAGCATGCCTGCCATTTCCCTTGGCCGGGGAACATCATTCTACTTCATGTTGTAGCAGTCATGTCTAGCCTTACCACCACCCACGTAAGCAGCCCTGAGAACCCAACCCCAAGCAATGGGATGCCGGCATGGTTGCCTGTCATCCTGCTGCCGCTTATGGCTTTGACAATTATGTTCTTGGCTGGAACACCGAAGTACGTCTTGTCGCCTTTTGTCTGCAAAGAGCCTCAAGATTAATAGCTATAAAGAGTCTATAGGTGGGCGAGGCCAAGGTCTTCTGTGTCCTCTGAAGAAACACCGCCTACTTCAGTGTCGTCAGGCGCTTCACAGCGTCGGGACCTGCCGCACCTCGACTCCCTTGCTCCTCCAAGAACCAGCAAAGACATGAGGTCGGACATCATGAGCCATGTTCACGCCTCGTGGGCTTTACCAGCCTTGAACATGACATGGTACATCTCTGAACACGTCACCATTCGGCGTCACTCACTAACCGCCCGCTCTGAGTCTAGTGCAATTTGTTTGAGTGAGGTAAAGGACACGGACATGCTTCGCCAACTGGAGTGTCAGCATACGTTTCACTCCGATTGTATCGCGGCATGGTACCTGGCCGAACATGATACATGCCCTATATGCATTCATAACTTTGTCACCGATTTGTGTGTTTTAGAAAGGCCACAGCAGGTCCATGTCTATAGCAGACGGGTAGAAAGTGTTTAGGTATCCCACCGGGATCAATCCTGCGTTCTACCGACCATATATGAGGCTTTGACTGTCTGCCGGGTATGCTAGCCAACTCAATCATAGCCTGTCTATCAGCAAGTCAATTATAGTTTCTTCTAAGCCTCAAGATTACTCAAAATTAGTATATGGAGGGTTACCCTCATCCCCGGGCTCCAATTTGAGCCCGGCAGATGATGCTAGCCTTCTTCCCAAGCATGAAAGATATTCCGCAAGCAGGACAACCTTCACGCTACGGAGTAGTCTGTCCACTAATGGCTATAGGTGGTCCACACGGACCTGAACGTGTCTCACTCAAGGCAAATATATATTAAGCGAGTGGTTCGCCACACCCATATGAACAATTATCTTGTAACAATACTCGTGTACACGTTGTCGTTGCCAACAGCCAATTTCTCTTATGTTGTTACTGGGTCGTGAATCCTCTCTCCAGATCCTGTATCCGAGCAGACAAATGTCTGTTCTCTTCTTCGAGGGTGAGGATGCGCTGCCTTGCGAAATCCAACACCTCGCCTCGGCTGTAACCACAATCCGGTGCTTCCGAGTCCCCTTCGCCCCCGGACTCGCCCTTCATTTTTGAAGCTTCGAGCACCGCCAATAGTCGCTCGAATCTCAGTTTCAAGCGGGTGCGGTACTGTTTCTCTACATTATTATGGCACTCCCTAGCTTGAACGACATGTGCAGGAAGTGCCGGTTTCTTGTGGACCCTTTTTGGTCTGCGGGATGCGGAGCGCATCTTCACTTCAGGTAGAGTCTTTTCCAAGCCCATGGGGCTCTCTTCATTGCTCTTAGTTGAGTCGTTTTGCTCCAAAGGCCCCGCGGCAAGTGCCTGCGGCAGGACTTTTGCCCGGTTCATATCGGCCCAGGATGAATCGGGTTTCGTGTTGGAATTCTTTGACTGCGGCACCTGCCCGCTCCGTACACGCAGGTCGTCATCCCCAATAAAGCTATTGGTGATACAAGATAAGGCTTTTCCTGTCTTGTATAGCTCGCTTGAAGAGGGGTTCGGTGGTAGGTGGGTGAGGGGTATGTTGGGGGTGGGTGAGATTGGCGACAGATAATAACCAAGCACCTCGTACAGAGGATTGAGAAAGACAGGGTCTGTAGAGGGTCATTCTCTGCATTCGACAAGGCCACGGGCTTCTTACCCTGCTCAAATTGACTCAAGATGTTATTTAACGTCGACTGTGAAGCGTCAGCCTGGACTACGATCAGAGATGGCAAGGTGCTATGAGATCAACGGTGTATTGGTCGCACGGAATGGTGAGAATGTGCAATGATTGAAGATTATCTAAATGCGACAAGGGTCCATGTCGTCCTTCATTTGTCGAATACTGCTACTTACCTCGGAGGGATTTGGCGTTCCGTCCCATTCGAAACCGTCAAAGTCAGGAATAATGCCAGCGGTGCTCATAATAAACTCGTGCCTCTAAAGATGGCAGTGTCTTGAATGGAGAGAGAGGCCGAATGCATCAGGCACAATGGATTATTTAAGCAGACCCGAAATTGGTGGCGTTGGTATGCTGTATGGAAATCTGGTGATATTGCATACCCATTTGTGTTATTCACCAATATTTCCCGACGTACCCCAATGTGCTGGGCGGTCTAGACTCTTCTCAAGTCCAGCCGAGCTGGGGTCGAGACCCAGCAGCAGTTACATTTGGTTGCCCGATAAAGCCAAAGACTTATGTGCATGACATTAAGTCCGATAATGGCAAATAGTGGCAAGATGCAGCCAAGCCACATCATCTGATGTCAATACAGATATCTACGATTGCGATTTGTGCTTTTCGTCACCATAAGGGCCTTGTTAATCTCGATGTCGATCTGAACAGGCTAATCAATCTTACATGGTTCGATATCCATCATGTCAGGCAGCGGTACCCGATCTTTTTGCAGAAGCCGACAGTTACGTTACTATCCTTTATCAGCTAGCGTGAGGGTGCTGACTGCCGGACTAGTCTCAGCGTCGAACATCAGTTATTGGCCAAGTCGCTGTCTTCAAGGTTCGGCTAATCACCCTATGACGATAACGTGAGTTAATTGATCCTTGTTGTAAAATGCCATGTTACTGTAGTATTCAAACAAAAGCAATTGTTGCCTGTGTCTCGATATCTTTTCCAGCCGCAACTACCCGTCCATTCCGCATCCCTTCACCTGGGCCATAACGTGTTAAGAGACTCACCACCAGCTTCTAACACTAAAACAGCCACGACGCTACGGTTTCATGGGAGCATGTGAGGTGATTTTCTCTATCGGTTATTGCCGTCCAGTCCTTGTCTTGGAGTACTGCCACTGGCACTGTTAGCAGTACTGGTTGCCCAATGGTTGCCCAATGGTTGAAACTGTTGGGGGGGATTGTTTCGAAATGAGGTTTTCGACGGAATTGACTGCTTCACTTGCGATGTATTGCTGAATGAGGGTGCAGTCGCAGTTACCGTGCCTCAGCAGCTCGAGTTTGAGTTGAAAAGCTGTTTCCCTAAGCTCGTTGCAGGAAGCAGATAGCTCTTTATGCCGGTCTTGCAGCTTCTCCACCTCGGCAGTTAACGTGTCTTGTTGATGTTGCTTTCGCGCACGGCAATTCGCAGCAGCTCTTCGGTTCCTCTCCAAAATCTGCATGTATCGTTTTCTCTCTCCCTTGCTAGACCCAGCTTTCGTCCCTTTCGCGTTCTTTTTGTCACTGAGCTTTCGCCTGGGCCTTTTCTTCCTCTCGGTCTTTATGCCAGTCTTGGTGCCAGTGGGCAGCCCAGGATCAGCCTCAGGTGGTGACAGACTCAGAATCGAAGCAATGCCAGCGCTTGGGCTTCCGTAGTGATCTTGCGGGCTGTCCAAGGCTGCCTCTTCGTACAGGCAGGCTCGTTCTGTTCGACTTTTGGGATGGAATTGTTCCTCGACGCCGTGCAAGCCGGACAAAGATTCTGATAGCACTACAGAATACAGGTCCTTATCATTGAGCATGCTGCCGATCATAACATCGTTCTGGCAGTACTCAGAGTATGGAGGCGATATCAATGGCTCAGGACTGGACGCAAGTATGTTGTAATGAATGCTATAGGAAGCATGCCAATCCCATGGGAGTAGAACTCCAGGCATATCTCCCCAAGAGAGGTCATAATGAGACCCATCGTGAGTATCCATGCCCCGGTCAGCATGTGAAACCATTTGGAAGTGTAAATAGAATAGAAAGCTGGATATGACTTTTCAAGAATGTATTCAGCTATAATGATACAGGTAAATGCAACGGTATTTGAGAGTAATACAGTTATGTTTGCAAGTAATAGGGAAAATACTTAGCAGTACTACCTTACTCAATGAACAGAAAACGATGGAGATATAAGCGATTCTATTGATCAATTCGGAATAACGTCTTTAACCATTTTCGTACGACCTGGCGTAGGAGGGGTACGGACAGCCAGGATGGCTTGATTACGACATGTATCAACGGTTAGCGCCTGCCTTACTTTCAGGGGTGATGATTTTTTAAACTATTCCAATGTTGTATTACTATAATCAGATCATGTTGTTATTGGGCCATCCAGCTCAGTCACATACGAAAGCTTTTGCACTCATGATCTGGCGCTCGGGGAACCGGTGTTGAGAGAATCACAACAGCTGCAGGCTTAGTATCGCCATATCCAACGGAACTAGCATGATTTGAGGCATGACACGATGGACTTTTAAGCCCCGGACTGAGGCCTAGATCTTGTTCTCAAGGTTGCATGTTTTGCATTATTAGGTCGATACCCTTGTTGTAAGTTTGCGATCATGGTCACTAGCGGCAAACAGTATAAGATCGGAGGATGCTTGAGCTGTAAGTTAACTGACATAGATAACTAATTAAGTATTTTTTAAGAGTCTAGTGCAAAGTTAAGGCCAGAGTTGATGTCACAGCATTCCTCGCCATTCATAACCGACCGCCTTAACCGCTGCCAAGTTTTGAGCAACCGCCAGGTTGGTCCCTTACACGAATTCATCCTCAAAACCCTGCAGGGTTGACTGGGCTTCTGTGTCCTTATGTAGTGGCCCGCTTTACACTACGCAAGGTGGCTCATTTTCTTTTGCCAGCAGCCGAGGTGCAGGACCAGGATGCAAGTGCGTATAAACAGTTAAACATGAAAGTATGGAAGCTTCAAAACTAAAGCGCCGTTGCATTATAACTTTGCTATGTAGATGTTTTGATAATATAGAGAATGATGTCGTTGAGACACGAGTGACCTGTCTGGGAATCAAATCCAGCCGTTAATATGTTAACATTAACTTTTGATAGCTGTGACTTTTCATTGGTGTAATTACGTTTTCCTACACGCTCGGTTTAAGCTTATTCTATCGCCGAAGATACAGGCTATTGCAGCGCTTATCAGCTGTTATTAGCCACATGTGTTTCTTATCCGTCTATTAACTTTCTTACCCTACATCTATCAAGAACAAAAACAAAAGTATAAAGCTATTTACAACTTGCCTTGTTTAATCTTGTCTTCCTGTAGAGCTTAAAGTCTCTTACTACTCCGTGTAGAGAATGTAATATATATAGCCAGTTTATCTTTATTTCGCTGAGTTCTTTATTATCCAAGTTTTTTCCTAACCTCATTGATGGAACGTTTTCAAGTTCTGATGATTAAACACCGACCCTATCAGCAGACTCCTGGCTTGAGATTATTTACTTTTGTCTAGTGGTCTAGCTGCTGTATGGTAAAAAAATGTCAAATCCAATTGCTTGAGAAATTTAGGATATGCGCCCTTATCTAGGGAAGAGCTCTTGGCCACAGTAATCTCTAACATTTATCACTCAATTGTGATATCGGAAGCCAAAGCAGACTGAAAAGGAAGTAAGGGGCTTCCATAATACTCCAGTCTAGCCCAATGGCTCAGGCTCCAGTCTAGAGCTTGATGCCAGCCTGTCCTCAATACCTGTAATATATCATATTCTATAAGAGGAGAACACGTCAACACCTACGCCCAGGCCGCCACAGCCAGTTTTCACCCATTTCTACGCTCCGTGACCTCCTCAGCCGTCTCTTTAGCTTATATCACTACAAAGAGCTAAGAGAATAAACCGGAAAGTGACTCACTCTCACCTACAAGCCCTGAAGTTAACGGACATCCCGATCTCAGTAACAAAGACAACTCTGACCGCACGTATGAGGTGGGCGCGAAATGCAAGGGTATTTAAGCAGCTAGTGCTTCATTCAATACACACTTCTTCATCAATGGTGTCTACATACCGGGATCTGTTGCAGAAACGATGTCTTTCCTTTGTTGTGATACATTGGAGGCGCTGAGGAGGATCGCAGCAGCAGTTCAGGACTGTATACTTAAACCATGATGTTCCTGTCTCTTGTGGAAGTCAGCAACAAACTTGCTTGTCACTATTGCAGAAGCGACATTGCCGAGCTCGCACCACTGAACTTGCCGTCTCTCTCCTTCATTTCCCGCTGCCTTGGCTATTGCCCTAGTGTAAATTGTGCAGACCCCAGCCGACCACAACTGTGACTAACAACCTAGCCCGCCAATACGATATTTGCACAAAAGATTACATCCCAGACCCCACACGCAATGGCGGACCCCACAAACGCAGAACGTTTGAACTATTTGTTGGAGATGGCTTTGGTCATTCATGAGGGCATCATTGAACGCCTTGACGAGGACCATGAGCTTGACCACCCGCTCATCGCGCACCTCAAAGAGGCAGACCATTTCATCGTGGTCAAGAAGGCTTTGCAAGACCGTCTTATCGACAAGGCTAGCGACAACGAAAACGAACATGTTGGGGGTGAATCGGCCACTCCACCCAGCCACCAATCACCGTTGACCATTGGGCAGGTCAATAACTATTCGCCGGCCCCCAAGATGATCGTTCAACGACTTCCTCTTCCCTCTTTAGTTCTTCGCCTGAGCCACAGCACACTAAAGCAAAGGCGCCTGCACGACGAAAGGTCGCTCGTCGGATCCCAGGAGAATCTCGAAACTCCAAGGCTCTGCGACAAATGCGGCGCGCAGTACCTTATGCAAGCTGGGTTGACAGTCCCAAGTGAAAGGCGCTGCACTCACGATCGGAGCGTGATAGGAAGAGGAGATATTGCATCAACGTTTTATGCCGCAAAGCATTGGAAGCGTGAAGAGATAACAGAGGTTCCAGCACTTTACAGATACCTAAATTAGATCTCATTAATATCAGACATCTTTCCAGTCCTTACAGCATCTACTTCTATTGCAAATAATACAGTATTTTCTGGTGAAACCTACTTGCTATCTTAGTGATAAAATATCTATTGTTATTCTCCTGGCTGTCAGTTAATTAAATAAGTTATGATTACTGACTTTTAGCATTTTTACAATAATGAGCCTTTGGCTCTTAAGCAACCACGGCCAGATCACTCAATAAGTGTTTTGCCTCTTGTGCGAAAGAGGCAAAAAGAAGGGCTCCTCCGGGGATTGAACCCGGGACCTCTCGCACCCAAAGCGAGAATCATACCTCTAGACCAAGAAGCCGATTTTCTTTATAGATGCTCGACTCACTAACAGAATTGTTTTGTTCACGACCGTTCTGATCCAATGAGTTTCTAAACGCTGCCATCAATACAATTCTGGCTAGCTCTCACTTCACTTAAAGGCTACTGCAGATTATTTATTCTTCTGTCGCTAGATAAGAACATGTTCTAGTTATGGCACTATTCTGTCTTTGTAATTAAATTCATATTTCTATAGATATATTAAAAGCTTGGCTCTAGAAGAGCGTAGTTTAATGAATTCTACAAGATGAATGTTATGGATTTTATATCAATTGATAACTCTACAAACCTCCTACACATCGTCGCTGCCGCTCATAGTGATGTTTACCTAAATACTCCCCCACTTCGCATCTTCTTCCCGGACATAACCTCAACATAACCCGGGTTGATCACTGCTTGCTCATAAACTTGAGAAGCATAACTCCAGACATAGTCAAATTGATACAGAACAGGGGAGGCGCAAATCCTGTTAGTTGCCTCCACGCAGGGCTGTAGCAGAGAATGAGTGGTTCAAGATTGACGTACACTTTAGAGTTGAATGCAAACATGACGGCCAATTACGTTTTTATCCGTCATATCCTCGTTCACTTGTTGGAGTGCACCTACAGTGAACTTGAGCACGCGTCCTAGCACCAGATTATCCCCACCCCATGGTTACACAAGATCCCTACCGCGATGAGGCTGGGAATCGGAGATTAACAGAGTGGGAATGAATGACGGAATGACCGGGCCGCAGATAGGCAATTGCCGATGCAAGGGATTCCAAGTATGCCCCCATCCAAGCACAGCCTCGGTGATGCAAGGGATAGATTGAGAGCTGAGCTGAAGATGTTGCTTTTTGTAAGACGGCCCCTCCGTATCCAGCCGCATATGTGGTATCTGCAAATACCGATCTAGAATCTGAGACACGCAAGTGACATGTGATCGATATGTCTCAAGCCATCAGAAGGGAGGAACCGGACGGAGAGCTGTTTCGGGTATTACTCAGGGTATTAAAACATGAAACATAAATAAGGGGCACAGCAACCTAATGATAAAACCAGGGCTTAGTCCAGTTTGATCGCCGGTGTCTTTTCGATTTATAAAACTATTCCACGGCTTGATAACAGTCTTCTACCTCTCGGTTCTCAAAATGCCTTCAACAATTCTGGTCGACAGCAAGATGCCTGGTGTTCGGTGCCCTACTTGCGCCGCGGCTGGACAGGAAGTCTGGGTCATTCCAGGTCGCTGCTGCGGAATCTGCGGGACTGCTTGTGTGGGTTCGTAAACTTCTCCTTTCATGAGACTGAGAGACTGATTTGGTGTTGTTGGACAGATTGATTGAACCCGGTCCATAATCGCTGGTCATGTTGACAAATGGGATTAACACGAATCTGAGTCTATTCCGACAACTCTGTCTGAAGAGTCGAACATCTCGCTTCTTGTTTTGAGACAAATACATGCTCTGTCTTGAACGTCTACTTCTCATCTTTATCTATCGACTGTCTCAGCAGTTATCTCCCTGGATGATATGTCGCCGACGACAAGGCCTCCATTTATCACTGGCTATTTTTAATTGCTTCGACAACATCGCCGTATAAAGGTATTAATCCTTGGCGGATCTAAAAGATGTGCTCGTCGGGTTTTATGATTCCAAGCAGCTCCTTTTACTACCCTGTTGTTAATGACGTCCATCTTGCCGTCTTTCAAACGTTGGTGCATGGGTCATATTGACCCCAGTACACGTAGCCAATGTTGTTCTTCGAGGGTCTGCATTCGTTTTGTGCGTTGTTGAGGTTGCATTGACGGCCGTGGTCTTTAAAGACTCCCCGGCGAAGATGCCAGTAAGGGGTAGTTCGGTGGATATGGTGCTGCTTTAATGGTTGATGTAAGGACTTTGGCTACTTTAGAGGCTTGAGGTGGTCATGAATAGAGAGAAAGGCGCAGCAAAGACGATGTATGAATCATGTGAGGGCCTAGTGCTCAGAAATAGATTGGTTGCTTTACTCTTACCGTATGAGTGTGAATTCAATGTGATTTCCAACAAAGCCCTCTCGCCAACTCTATAAAGAACTATCACTACGTACGAAGGGATATCCTGCATTGCATTACAGGACTGACCAACTCGTGGAACCAATTAATACTCCTTGTCAAATCTATCTCGGCCTTTGAGGGGTGCTTGCTTCAGTCAACCAGTGTTCACCGTTCGGACTCAGTATGCCTGAACAGAGCAATAAACAACAACTGTACATTTTATAGAGTTTCGATGGATTTCTATGTGGATAGTTCATACACCTCAGCATAAATTTCAGCACTGTTCACCTGTGATCTATCTGTGCCAAGTGATGATTGTCATGAACTTTGTATCGTTCACTGCGACAAATCATGATATCATCGCCAAGCAAGCAACGCCAAGTCAGCTGGGCCAGGAAAGTGCACGGAACACTGCATCCAAGCGGATGGTATTAGTGAATGTATGTATTAATGATTATAAGTACAAGTAGGTGCCCTACAATAAGGACCACCGCATGGTATCAGTGTCAGTACCGGCCACCAACGGAATCCACGACAACTTCACAAAGTTCAGTATCTGTATCCAATATGGACAATCTTACTGAAGCTCACTTCCAGGAAGTCAATGGCGAACTGGTTAACCATCGGGTCTTACAGTGGACAGATTTCATTGAGTCTTGTGACCTAAGCGACCCTAATACAGCAATTCATTCACCCTCAAAGGTTAGTGCCGATGGGTATGAGACCTCAAATGATTCGTTCTATACAGCCAGTGATGGAGAGTCAGATGCATCAAGTGCGACTCTCGGACGATCAACTGAGCTTTTTGAGCCCGTGATATCTGAGTATCTTATTGACACCCCGCAGCAGCAGACCCGTGAGGACGCAATTGCAACAGTAAACCCGCACCCGTTCCTAACAATCAACGCGAACTACGCCAGAGAAGCTATTTACATCTATGAAATGATGAAAGAAGGTGTCATGGACGACCAATGGAATATGAGCTCCTGTGTCCTCACGCGCGAACTCTACTCTGATAATCCAGCTTTTTCGTTAGATCGCGTCGGCTGGCACTGTCTGATCGATCATGATCCAGATGGCGTTTTGGAGGGCGAGGTTGTGGTTCTATTCATGCCTGATAGCGACTTTGTCGAGAAGATCAATCAAGGAGAAGTCGTCTTTGACGAAGCTATTGATAAGAAGCCAGCTTCACTTGTCATGCAGGTAGTCAAGCCTGACTTTTATGGCCCTGAAAAAAGACTTGCTGGTCGAGTCTTGGCTTGGAAGGTCTGTGGTTCTGTGGATTCTGTGTGGATGGATCGTCACGGTCATCCTATCGACCGAGGTGCCACAAAGGTAATCCCCAACATCATTCACCTGCTCAAGTGAGTGGCGTTTTGCATCCAACGTACTGGAGTAAGTATGTTGTATTTGTATTTGTGAGCATGCTTTTCCTTTTGCAATCATAACAGATAAGGAGCTACTCAATTGGGCAGGTCCCTGTACGTCTGTGTGCTTCCCGCCTACCCAAAGTTTTAGTATTGTCTTATGGAATGATTTATGACAATGAGAATGAATATATGGATTTCTGAAGTAAATATAGTATGAGTCTGTGATATACTGTGTAAAGTGGATAAGCCGAAGTGAAGTCTTTAAATAGTGACTTGCAAGTGTAACTCCAGAAATTAATGAATGGTATTTCCTACCCAGTCTTCCCCAAACATGCCCTCAAACGGAGCATATTCCCAGAAGTTTGCCTAATGATAACTATTACAAAAACAAATTCTTGAATCCTGATTGTCATGATAATTTGGTCAGATCTTTCTCATGTCCACGAGGAAGGTCGTCCGAATGCGCCTCTAGACCAAGAAGTCCTGTCATACAGGACCTCGGAAAACTATTGCGTTATGACCAATCTGAGCTCTACGCCCCAAGGCTCAGTTTCCAAAACAAAAACCAACTCAAACAAGATCATTGCGGCCCAGATAGAAGCGAACGCCGTATCAAAGATCCAGAGGATCATGCAATAAGCACAGATCCAACCAGCGTGAAACAAGTCCCTACACGAGATCCGCTGGCCTCTTTTTCTCTCCTCAAGCTTGTCTGAATACAATAGAGCTCGAGAGTAAAGTTCTCTTCGCACCCTGATTTTGGTCGCTCTTTTCTGCATCCTCAGAACTGCCTTGCAGCGATTGGTCCTGTAGCGAAGGATCGCTGGCGGTAAAACATCCCAATCGGCGATTTCCGCAGACTGGTCAAGGTGGAGAGCGAGCTGTTCCCGTACCTGGTTCTTGAGGTTTTGTTGTTCTTCGACAAGTCTTGCCATCTCTTCTTGTATCTTACTTTCGGCAGGCATAAGAATGGTGGACCAATTGTCGTTTGGGGTGGTGCCGAATGTCCCTTTAAAGACACCTGCGAGACTTTGGGTCGATGAAAGAGACAGCTGCCTGTAAAAGACGACTCGTGCTGAGGGAGGGAACAGTTGTTTGGAAGGGAGAGAAGAACAGGAAGACAGTGGAGCCAGGAATCAGGTATATATAGTTATGTAAAGGCAAATGATAGATGCCTCGTACATGCAAGCAAATGCTTATACTGCCTGAAAGTATAAGAATGATTTAGGTTTTATATCTAATGCATTGCCCTAATCGGTTTCGCTGAGATGTTGACAAGGTTTGCACAAACAAAACTTAAAGTGTCAGATACAAACTTAAATGTCATTAAGGACTTCTATCAGCCAGACTTTAATTCAGATAGCATTACACCTAACCTCAGCCAGTAATATCGCACAACAGTATACTCAAATCGAGTCTCACATGTTGCCATCCACTATTCTCACATCAATCCAACAACTCCTCAGCCAAAATGCCCTCCCAATCTTCATCCTTGGAAATGCTCTCCCACTCATCAACGACCTGACTCTTGACATACAATTCATCACAAGCAGTCGCCATCTCATCCTCCAAATCTCTCATCTTGCGCTCGAGATCACCATACATCTTCTGGGCCCTGAGAGCCTCGTCGCGCTGCATTTTGGCCTCCCACATACGTCCAATCGAAGTGACTCGTGCCTTTGCAGTTTCCACCAGTTCAAATGCGACCTGTTCGAAGTCGCGAGCGGTGTCAATCTCATTGATGAGGTCGGTATCCCGAACGAGGGCGTTCTGGCAATGTTTGGAGATTTTGTCGAGGTGAGTGTAGTGCTCTTTCTTGACGTGATCGATGATGATACTGCGTTGCCGTTTCGCCGGAGGCCCATCTTCATCCGCCTGCACGTAATGCGCGTCTAGCTCATCGCGAAGACCGTTGATGTATTGACTCGCTGGCGTCGCGCGCTGCATTGAATGCTTCCCGTTTGCCTTGAAGTTGGGCGAGAGCAGTACCGGCAGCGGAATGCGCGGCTTGACTCTGTTGTTAATGCTTGTCGGCGTCGTCGCGGAGTCGCTTCTAGCCATCCCACGTGAGCTTCGACAGAGCATCTTGGGCAGGGACGTGTGTATCGATCGATCGCATCGGGTTAACGGTAGTGCGCTTAGAGGTTGTGTCGGTGTTGGTCATGTCGACGTCGGTCTCGGCTATCTCAGCCAGTGGAGCAGAACCTGTTGACGGTGTGGGTGAGGAAGTCGGGCGCGCGTCGTGATAAACCTCGATTGAGGAAACAGGCGAGTCAGGAACTTGGGTGTTGTTATCAGGAAGGTCGAGCGAGCCAGGTATCTCTATCACGCTCTCGGGCGACGCAGCTCGTGAAGGTTCGGGTTGATCAGCTCTCAATCGTATGAACACCGCCCTCGCAGTAGCAACAGTCAAATGAAGCTGAGGAGGCCCAGCCGCGACCAAGCGGTTCTTCGTTTTGAGCTCAAGATCCTGCTGAACAGCGACACGCAAAACACCGCCAGGTTGCTAGACTGACTGCAAAGGAATATGCTGCTCGAGAAGAATGTCCGTGATCTCGCGGAGGGAGCGGACGACTGCGTCGGCCGGGTGGCTCCTAACATAAGGGCTTGAGTTATTTTAAACTTAATTTAGATTTTTAATAATTATTTAAAAAACTGCCTTTAAAGTAAAAAGTAAGGTATCTTACTTACTTATCTATCTTACTTGCCTATTATATATATTATTTAAAGTTTAAAATATAATGCTAAAAATAGATTTGTTTATAGTAGGTTAGGCAATTCTAGACTTTTAACATGACATTTTAACCGCTCTGCTCTTAGGTTAAATATAGATATGTACTTTAGCAGCATTTAGATTAGCTCTTGCAGTCTAGTATAGCAAAGAAGCCAACTGCCTTTTACGTCTTGAGCACGCTCGTTGGCCATAGCCACTATGTCTCCCTCCTCATTAAGCCACTTATAGCCTGCTATATTAATTAAGTTATTAAACTTTCTGTAATAAAGCCACACTGTTGCGTTGCTCTCAAGCCAGACTCTTAACATTTTCCAGAGCTATATCTATAAGTTCAAAGATTTGTATTTAATTAGAATAGTCAATCTTATTATTTTCCCTATATAACTTTCATAATAAGACGAAGAACCAGTAGCCAGAAGATCTTGCGAGCGCCAGCTGACCTCATCTCGGCACTAGGCGCTCTAGACCTTCTTGAGCAGTACTACGTAGTATAATAATATGCTATCTCGCCTTCACCCGGAGCATATCTCTAACTTCTATTTAACTATATAGCAACTCCTTTATAGCCAGTCTAGTATCTATCGTCCTTTAAAAGTCGTTCACTATACCATCCACATCAAACCAACTCATCTATTAAAATGAAGGTCTTTTTCTTTCTTACCGCCCTCCTTTCGGCGCCTGCTTTGGGGCAAACTATCGGTCTACCTGCCTGCGCTGTAAGTACATCCTGACTGCGAAACACAACCTTATTTAAGTAATTTCTGCTAACACAACTTGTAGGAAACTTGCGTTCTAAATGGCATCGGCGCCTCTGGCTGCGCAACCACTGACGCTGGGTGTATCTGCATATCACCTTCCTTCCTGGCCAGCGTTGAAGCTTGCATTTCTACTGATTGCGACGCACTTGACCAGGCTGGTACGCACAATATAAATTTTCTTGAAGGGCATCGAATTTTTAACGCTCTATCACTTAGCTACCTTATCATTCGCCACGCAGTTTTGCGCCCAAGCTGGCGTCACTATTTCCGTTCCCTCGGCGATGCAAGCTACCACCCAGCCTGCTACCGAAAGTGCCACAGCGCCGACTCCTACCACTCTAATTACAACAACTGATTCTGCTGGAGAGGTCCTTACCATAACTGGCTTGATCCTTATATCAGGTACTAGCACTACTACTGTCCCCTGCCGCACCGTCGTTACGACCAACGCCGCAGGTGTAACGGTGACTAGTACTGAGACAGGCGTATCTGTCGTATGTTGATCCTACTTCTTCTCGAAAACCTATAGCTAAATAGAGATCTCGCAGTTACCTACAGAGTTACAAGGACAAAACTCAGGCCCTAGTGTTATGAACACATCTACAGCAGCATCGCTACATTCAACACCGTTACCATCTATAGCCACTTTAACTGCAGGAACAGGAAGGCCGCATTTGTCAAGTGCAGTTATGTTATTAGCCGGGCTATTAGGAGTCCTGGCTGTAGCCTTAGGATTGCTTTAAAAGGAGAAGGTTATTAACAAGCATTTTTGATTTAAGCCTTATTAGGTCGCCTCTCTAAAAGTTATATTTAGAGCCCATCTATGTGCAAGCACCAGATGAGCACTTAGACATCTTATATAAACCGACCTAGGCCCCTGACTATATCATAACCCGACTAATTCATAATCCAAGTAGGTTTCTCTAATATACTTCTATTAAAATAATACTGCTCCTTCTTCTTAACTCTCGCCTAGTATGCGCTTTGACTTAGCCAGGTCTCACGGAACCAGTCGTACTGAGAGGTTTCGAGGTGTAGCAACAAAGGACTCCTTCTGGAGGAGACTTTCAATTGGATCGAGTACAAAAGGGTCATAATTAGCGTCTTTTGGAAGGTAAGATCTCAAAGTGAGCGATGAGGTGGAGAAACTCTGTGTACAGTGCCTTATGAGCGAGATGGTTCGCAATGCACATCCGACTACCCATCCCGAAAGCAACTGATGGGAATGCTTCTTCTATGGTTAGATCTAACGCTCTGGAATAAAAGTACACGGCTCAGGGAGTACCATGGGATCTGGGCATACGTCAGTCGAGCTCAGTGTGTAAGCACAATAACTAATCAGAACATTTATTTCTTGAGGGCAAACCCATGTATTCAGGTAAAGTAATGTATTTGATGGTATTCTGGCTCCGTTTCAGGTAGTTCCCATCTCGTCTAACGTGGCTCGCGGCAAGCCAACCTTGAGGGCAGTGTAGGGGTCATCCAACCTCTTTAGTAAAGGCATCGATATACTCAAATTTAGTGTCAGAGACGTCGGGTTCCTCTAAAAGACTACTTTCTGTGTGGTTGATAGCCTTATAAGCCTTGCGCTGAATGCCTTGTCGTTGAGACAGAACCAGAATGGCCCACGCAACTGTTGGCTGGCTAGTATCTGCGCCAGCCATTATACTCAAACTAACGCTAAGCAGCTCTCCTTCAGATAGCCCTACTGTGCTAATTACCATTAGTAATGGACCTAATACCACTTTTTGTACGCCATACACTCCCCCTATTTATAAGGATTTGCATATAAGAAGTCTTAGCCCGTATACATTCCTAGGATATAAATATTAAATCTATATTATTGCAAATAGGAAGAGTTTTTTATATTATAAAGGATATATACGAAACTCAATCCTAATAGCTATAATTTAAAGATTAAGTATAAGGTCTCTTTTATTAATTATATTATAAGATTTAAAATCCTAATTTATATATAAATTTAATTATTTAATTAATACAAAACCTCTTAACCTTATAGATATTCTATTAATAAGACTAACTACTAATAAAATTAAAATAATATAATTAATAAGTCTATTAATTACAAGTCTTAGCCCTTATATTTTAAATTATATTAAAACTATTATAAATTATTTAATTAATTAAAAATACTTCTTATGTTCTTTTTTAAAAGTCATAATAGCATTTTAATACGTCTTTATAATATACCTAGCCTTATTATATATTCTTTAAAAATAAATACTTAGTTATATTAACATTTCTTAATTACTACTTTTTAATAATTTTATAATTACTTATATATTAATATTTATATAATTAATTATATATAATATATTTAATAAGTAAGCTAGTTAAATAAATAAGCTAGTTACTTTTATTTTTAACTTATAAGTTATTCCTCCTTATTTAACCAATAATTGTAAAAGGTTCCCTTTTACTTATTAAATTGCTCCTGAAGTAACTTAAAAATTACTTAATAAGTTCTTATATTATACCTATCTTTACTATATATAATATATTACTAATTACTTAGTTATATTTTATTCCTTTAATTATTACTTTTTAATAATTTAGCTATTATTTATATATTAATACTTATTTAATTAATTATTTATAATACTCTTTATATAATTATACTTTTTTTCTTTTATAATTTAATCCTTTTTACCTTATAGTACTAACTTAATGTCTTATTTATATTTTAAAAATTATAAACCTTAGCTTTTAATAATATATTTATATATATTATAATTATGAAACTTTTTTAAAAGACTTTAAGGCTCTTAATATTAATTTTAAAAAGCTATTATAATAATCTTTAATTTATTTACTAAGGTATTTAAATAAGAATTATATTGTTTATATTATCTTTAAGGTCTTTAAAGCCTATAATATTAATAATTTAATAGCCTTTTTAAAAGGTATTAAGCTTTATAATTATATATTAAGCTTTAAGGTTATATTTCTTAAGTTAAATAAAATAAGCCTAGGTTTTTAAAAAAACCTTTTAAATATTATAAAATACTTAATATTAAAAGGCTAAAATAAATAAAATATATAAGCTAGTATATAAAATAAAATAGTCTTATTTTCTTAATAATATCTCTTATAATTAGCTAAGTAATAACTTTAATAATTATTAAGATTTAAAAAATAATAAAGATTAATTAATTAAAGTATTTTAATTACTTAAAACCTAGCTTATTATTTATTTATTTATTTTAACTTATTATTATAACTTAATTACTTAAAAGGTTATATTTTTAATATTAATTAATAAAGTAATATTAGCCTATATTAAGTATAAATAATATAATTAATTAACCTTTTATATTAATTACTTAAATTTTAATAATTTATTTTTAATTTTTAAGCTATATTAATTTTAGCCTTTTTTACCTTTTTAAACTATTAATAATTATTTTAATTATAATACTACTTATTATAAAGTTAATTTTCTTAAAGTTTTAAATAATATTTAATTAAGTATTATATTTTATAATTATATTTTATATAAGCTTAAATTAATTATAAATAATATCTAAATCTTTATTTTTATTTTTATTTTTATTTTTATTTTTATTTTTATTTTTCCTTTACCTTTAGCCTTATATAAGGCTATTAAGCTTTTTAACTTTTTTATTAATAGTTTAAATAATAAGACCCTTATAGTAAGCTATTATTATAGAAGTTAGAATTAAATAAGGTTTATCTGCCTTAATAATATAATTACTGCCTTAATTAAGTAATACTAATATTAATTATATTTTAATAGCTAAATTAAATTTTTTCCTTTAACTTATTTAAAAGAATATTATATTTAATTTATTTATTATAAAGTAAATTATTTAACCTAACTTTTAACCCTTTTTATTAATAATATAATAGCTATACTGCCTTAATACTTATATAAAATAGCCTATAATTATATAATTATACCTATTATATAATTAGTTATAATCTTAATCTAGTTATTAAGCCTGCCCTAAAGGCAGTTAATAAAAAAGAACTTTATATAAGATATAATAATTATTACTATTATAAAGAACTTCTTATTAAGGGGCAGATTTAACTTTATTAAAGTAGCTATTTTTAATTATAACTTAATTTAATGAATTAATTATATAAAAAAAAGGCATTATATTAACTTAATTATTCTAAATTCAGTTAATAAGAAGCTATTAAGTCTTAAAGACTTAAAAATAGCCTTAAAGGAAGGTTATCCTCTTTAGTTAAATAAGGCAGCTTTCCTTACTGCCTTTATAAGCTTAGCTATATATAAAGAGTAGCTCCTTAATATATCTATAAGGGCAGCTGATGTTATTAAAGAGCTACTCTTAAATTAATAAAGACTAGCCTGGCTATAGTCTTAAACTATAAAAGCATAAGGATAGGGAGTCTATATATAGAGTTCTAGGATAAATGCAAGGTAAAGGCAGGGTTTAGAAATTCTATTAAAGTTAAAATTAAAGGAATTATATTAAGTTTTATATAAGTTAGTTAATAAAAGTTAAATTAACCTTAATTAATTAAATATATATAATAGGGCATATAACTAATTAACCTTATATATAAAAATAAATAAAGTAAAATTAGTAAAAAAGTAGTAATATAAACTAAGGAAAATATTAATTTATAAGTTTTTTAATAAGTAGAAAAATAGTATTATTAATATACCTAATATCCTAATTTAAAAAAAAGATTTTAAAGTAATATAATAAATCCTTTTACTATTTTCTTAATATATAAATTGCCTTTAAGTAGACTATTTATACTATAGTTATAATAGGATTAACCTTTTATTATTAGTAAAGTGCAGATAAGTAAAAGGATAAGACTATATCACTGCAAGTAGAAGGGATCTCTACAAAGCTAAATATACGGCCTCGACATTAAGATCCTTGGCAGTATTAAGATTCACTTTACTATCGGCCGCTAGCCGAAGTTGTATCCGATCTTGATATCCAACAGGACGCTGGCGGCTTCGTTCCATTAGTCGCCAAGCATAGACGTCACTGCCAAGCAGCAATAAGATGCCGCTTAATCCTCAGCAATCCTTCACTGTAACGACATTAAAAGTCCCTCAGAATGCATTAGATATAGATATGCAAAGTTAATAGTATAATACAATTTATTGCGCTGGCCACTTATAGTCAAAAGGACACTATGCACTTATGCTTGCATACAACGCATAGCTTCCTTCCTTGTCTGTCTTGCACAGTAAGCAAATAGTCTAGAAATCAGCCCTGCTAGGCTGCTCCCCTCAGCTAGTACAACGTGTAGCTGTCTCAACCTCCAAGCACCAGGCGACAGGTCGATTGCAACCCGGTATCACGCTAATATAATAGCAGAGATATAGCGATAATTGCTTGAAATAATGTATGGGGTATCTGGGTAAACATATCAAGTAAATGCAGTAAAATAATCTAAGATCCTAATAAAGAGGTACGCAAAGCTGGGTAACTCTTGGTCATAAACATTCAGATCCTCAGCTTCAGTTGTCTCAACGAACACGGTGCATGCGGTGTTGGGCACTAGATTACCTTTAGTTAGAGTTGGTGATATCTTCTAGCCGTATGAGCATAGTTAATATTATTATTACGCCTATTACTATAGATGGGCTTTATCGTCTTGGGAGAGCACTAAACTCGTTACAGATACAGCGACAAGTTAAAATAATAGCACACGGTTCATAGGGCGCGTGTCTTCCAAGACTTTTGCCCGCATGCAGAACATTCAGTAAGCTGAGCGATTGTCCTCGAGTACTTGTAGGAAATACCTCTCACCACTTCTCAGGCAGAATAGAATCACTACATCTAACTATTGTCAGTTCTAGGATGATTAGTTAAAAGATTTGAAGGTCAAATAACATCGAGCAGTTTGCGCAACCAGAGGACCAGATGGATGCAGGATCATCTTGACAAGCACCAAGGAAGAGAAACGACCATAAACCTTCTTGCGACAGTCTCATTACCGCCCCTAAGATGCAAGATAGCGAAGTCACTTCATCGATCATACTCTTCAGCTGAGCTTTGAAAGCTTCCAGTATCTCAACGAGGGCCCCTAGACGCTACCTCGATAGAGATACCAGGGATGTTCTGTCATGCATCTAGAGGTAGTGCGTAGTATAAGTAGGATATAAATGCGATTCCAGTATTCTTTAATCAATGATTAGGAAGCCTGTCTGGATTGCAGTCGGACTCTTAACTGTCGATGCGGCCGTGATGACCTTTGAGTCAACGGATGCATGATCTATCACCTGGGCAGAGGCTATAACGTAACTTTGTCAAGAGAAGATGACACTCCTGAGTCATTGCAATGGCTTCCTGTATTTTGGACATTGCGACAGTAGAAGTCTATGTATTAGCCGGTTTCAATAGCAGGATCCCGGCGTTCCGTAGCCACTGTTCTAGGAAAAGAAAGTGTGTAGAACTTGTACTTTCAAGTTGCTTTGCATATCAGATCTGTACCCAAGGTCACTCAACTGTCCCTATTTCAACATTGAGCTATCTCTTTCTCTGGATAATTTCTCAGACAGTAGCTAGGAGACCTATTTCGAAGGAGGCTGTAGGGCACGTTCTTTGGTTCCCCTGATCGGGGATGGTCTGGAAACATATACGTGACTGGTGAGGTCAGCGACTGGAGATAACTTAAAAGCTTCATCCCAGGAACAACTATTGGCACTGAGAGTACCCTGGTGTAAATGTTAGCATATAGCTCAAGTCAACGCATAATGGAACACTCACAATCGTTAATCTTGACGCATTTGAAGGGACTTGCGCACTGCAATGCCTGTTAATACTTATACAAACAGAAGCGCTTATTGAGTGACTACTTACTTGTCTAGGACCTGTCCACTCTATGCCGCCACATTGACCCCACTGGGGAGAAACCTCTGAGCCACCAGTGTCTGTAGGTCTGGTGGCTGTAGTAGTGGACGATGGCTTTACTGGATCCTGGGGCATTGTTAGCTGTTGCACAGTTAGGGGAACATTGACAGTGATGTGACTCACAGCGAAACCAAACCATTTCAAGTCTTCTTCTGGGAACACGTCAATGGAATGAGTAATACCCTGGCCTAAAAATGTCTATACCTAATGTCAGCCATATTCCTCGAAAGTTAGTTACTTGTTTATATCACCTGTAGCTTATCGCCAAAAGCGTATCTGGTATACGGGCTCCGTGGGAAGTTAGGAGTGGTAGATTGCGGCTCAGTTGAATAGCCAAATACACCAGTCCATTGTTTAATGGTTTCGTAGTAGTTCTGCACATTCAATACCTGATCTGCCGACCCGTGGTAGATTTGCATTTTTGGTCGTGGCCCATTATATCCAGGATACATGTTCTTAGCAACATTGGCCCACTGACCTTGGGTCCAGATGGACTGGCCAGTAGAGCATGTTGAGTTCCAGAAGTCGGGAATATTGTCTTTGCTCATGAAGCAACCGGCCGGGACACCAGCGTACGCAATTCCTGCTGCGAAAATGTCAGGGTAGGTTGCGGCCATGACATTCTGTTTCTGTATTAGCTTAATCCTATCGAGAGATCTGTTTCTCACATACAGTCATCATGGCCCCTGAGGAAGTACCCGTAACGAAAATTCTGCTCTCATCGGCACTATATTCCTTGATAACAAACTTGGCCATATTGGCGATCGAGGTACTGGCACCACCGCCGTTATGAGTCAAGGTCATCTTTGATGCCACATCCCAGCAATTATCCTGGGTATATGGCGTCTGAGGATAAATAACAATAAAGCCATATATCTCGGCGTAGTAAGCCCACTGGGTGCCCTGGTAGTATGCTTGGGCGCTACCGCTACACCAATGGATGCCGACTACTACCCCAGGCTTTGAAGCTAGGGTCTTTGGAACATATAGCCACATTCGGGTACCCGTCGGGTTGTCGCCGTAGTTAGTTACCTCAGTGAAGGTGGACCTGGGGACAACTTCAGCAGCCAGAGCTATGTGAAAGAGAGTTGGCAGCCAGAGGCTGATAAAGGCAGTCAACTTCATTGTAACAGCAGAGAGCATTTCATGGGATGGGTTGTTACATAGAGGATGTAAACGAGGGCAGTAGCGTATTTAACTGAAGCTACACGCGGTCGAGCATGTTAAAGCGATAAATAACGTGGGATTGACATACCTTAACAGGTCGTTCGGACCAGTAGCCTCCGTTTCTCTCTTGGCTGAAATGCCAGATGTGAAGTTTACTGCTACCTTTGCATACGCAAACTTCACTTTATTGGATGGCTCCGGGCTAGAACTGCATCACCATCGGCTTTATGGTACGAATTGAGATTGATATTCCTAACTCATACATATACGGAGCTCTCGTTTTGGGAAATGAGCGCAGGACTTCGTTCTTCATCATATGTGTCTTAATGCTGTGATGTGGCGGGTTTGGTGCGGGGTCGGCCAGAATGTGCATAAATAGGACCTTGGTACAGTAGAATCTCACCTTTCCACATTTAGACACGGAGTCTTCGGAGTGGTTTCCGCCAATTGCGCAATAGAACCAAAGCATGCTAGCACTGTTACTCAGGGACAGCCCCATGCACGATTCCAGCTTTTGCCAAGATACAAAATAGTAAGTTCACAAGCTCCTCTATTAGATGACATGAGTCTTCAGATCCAGTTGAGGTTTGACAACTGTTTAAGATATCGAAGGCCTGTCTTTCTTACGAGGGTTCAAAGGGTGGTGAAGTACTACTCCCTCCGTGAGTTCGTTATTATTTCCATCTCATACCGTTTAAGCTCATAGTCAACGCGGATCCTATCTAAAATTCACCGAGTACTGCTATTTCCCCCCCTCGCTTGCTTCTGGCTCCACGCAGTCACTGGTCATGCTATGTAAGACAGTCTTACACTAACACTCAGCCGTAAGCCGCTGGACGTAACAATGGTTTTCAGATTTACTTGGTGAGATCAAAGGAAGAGTCCCTGGTTGCACTGGGCTCGACAATGACCCTTTTTGGTGACCAAAAGGCAAAGAACGACGACAACATGGAGTGTTTGAGTGATTATTCTGTAGATCATGGGTGAAGACAATAATTATGGGAAACTCTCTTTCGTGGGAAAATTTGCTTCCCTCCGAGGCTTTCGTTCAAAAGATATCCTTTTAGGGGACTTTCTTCCAATACCCGTAATTAATGTCCAAGCCCTATCTCAATAAATTCGTTCACACTTACCATGGCCGTTGCTGCACAACAGAGCATGGATGTCACGGTAAGTTCTGCTCTCTCAACTTCCGGGGCATAATGCGCGCGGCAACACGCAATGACATTAAACCTCCGGCATAGCTGGCTTGCAACAGGCTTGGCACTACAACTGCAATGTGCCATGAGACATACCGAAAGATCAAAATAGATATTTTTCCAACCATCTACCTTTACATTTCTGCATATAATTTCTTCGTCTTGCAGCGACACTTATAACGACTATGGGACCAATTGAATCTTTAATAGCGCTCACGCCGTACAAAACCATGCTTCCAGCACCCAAGTAGCTTTACTAAGGCTCGTTCGACGGGACACGAGTGGCTGGGACCCTGAGCGTGGTAAACTTCCAACTTTTACCACCATCTGATGTCGACATCTGTCCGCCAGTCGCACCCTGTTCCCATCTTCCACTATGGCCAAAGCTAGGGTCAGCCTTGCTTAGAGTAATAGAAACATTCTCCCAGCCTATTGAAATATCAGTGCTTATTCATTATGCTGTAAAGGAGGTGGAAGTATACTGTGTGCTGGAGTAGTGGCGCAGTTTCCCCTGGCACATTCCATGGAAATATAAAGAATCTCGCCATGCTGCCCCTTGCCTATAAACAGCCCGTCAGTTAAAGTCCACTGAGATTAAGTTACTCTGAGCACCTACTAGTTGAGATAGTGGAAGCGAGCTTGTTGTCGATGTAAACATTCTGATCCCACATTTGCGTCTGAGGGTTCAGTTTATCTAATGAAGAGTTAGATTAAAGCGTGTAAATCACTTGGTGATATACATACATTGAGTCTTGACGTGTGATCCAGGAGATGCTGCAATAGTATTACCGTTCCTAGGTTCAGAGCCTTGCGAACACAATATCAGTACCAGTCACTTAAGTTATGCCATTCAGAAATACTCACTGCCATTGATAAGTGCATAAGCAAAGTTACACCACTTTTTGCCAAGATTGGAACAGTATCCCATTCTATAAATCTTAGCCTAATCTTCTCTCATAGGTAATTGCTGTCATGTAGTGCCTTACCCTGGTGGGGCGTTCTCAGTAACTCCCTGTAGGAATGATTGTTGGTTCTGCATCATGATGGCGCTCCAGAGAGCAACATCTCCACTGATAGGATTGGGGATATCTGGGAGGACAAGTGTCGCGGAAGCTTCCTGAATGTAAACACCGGGTTGAGCTATCAAGGTGACGACGTCGAGATTCGCTGCTGCTTGCTGAAGAAGCATCGCCAAGGCACCAATTGTTGTGAGAGTCCTCATGTTGATGTGATGATTGGCGAATAGTCGGGCCAAGATCAAATGCAGGCAATAGTTTTGTGATGGGAAAGCGGTGCATTGGGAACGGGTGAGAGGCAGGTTATATAGGAGCCAAGGCTTTACGAGCTCCAGGGATTTCTGCTGGTATGTGCTCTAAAGGGCCCGCATAAGAGCATTAAATACTCTATCTGTTGCAAGACTATTTACGGGAATATCTGAAACTAAAGTCCACCAATCATTTTCTCGCTTGTCGTAAAGATATGGTCCGTTTTTCAGGGTGCGCAGGTACTGTATCAATTGGAGCCGTTTACCCTAGATCAGCAGCAATTGGAAAGACTTATATTGGATTGTAATTTCCCGGCACCTAATTTGGAACGCAAGATCTGACTTTTTGGGCTCCCATGAGAGTAAATAACAGGTTTGGATTGAGTTACACATTCTGGTGCCCTTCTAAAAACCGAAAGCCCCTGCCTACATACCTTGAACTGTTACAGCGCTTATCTTGACAGGCTGATATCCCTAACTGAGATAAGCTCTTCAGCTTAGGGTTTAAAATTGGGTACCCATGGGTAATTTTTTTTTGTATCAAGACTTCCTTTTGGCCCTAGCCTTATATGGAACTGAAAGTATTGGTGACACCCATGGGTACCCAAAAAAGCAATATTTTAAGCCCTACTTCAGCTGAAGCAACTATAACTCCTGCATCAACAACTGCCGCCGAAACGACAACTATATGCGACGTACCCTCAGCTTCTTCGGGCATAACCAAGGCTGCTCTAACCACTGACACGACTACAATAGATTCCACAACGACAACACAGAAGCTCCATCGCCACCCCCGCCAATGTTCAGGATCCTTGCTGGCGGCGGGCCTCTCTTATGTCGCCTGTCTTGTCAAATCGTGTCAAGAGCGGCTTTCTACCTTTCTGGCCTACTCAAGGTTTTGCCACCGGCTACTTTACCGTCCACCCTCAGAGCGGTCACCTGTTGCTCGACAACAAGCTACCTATATGTACTTATTTCGTCTCAAGGGGAGCCAAGCTGGAGATTTGTCCCGATTCTCTTTCACAGCAAGAGGCTATTATAACTTGCCAACAGCCTGTCAACAAGGCAGCTCTGAAGTGCGAAAACTCGTGCTGTGTTGCTGCGACCTGAATACTCGACTGATCATTGATCATGAAGCTCGGGATACCCTGTGGCTTTGGTGGCATATACTCTTTGATGTCGTTAGCTTGCAAAGGTTCAAGTTTGGTTTACTCTTGTTTCTTTGATGCAGCCTCTTGTGCCTTTTTCTGTTCATCAACAGATGTCTTTTCCGTGTCATCCGTGTCTGCTTCAACAGGCGGAGTGGGTTCGCGGCTTTCGCGGACCATGATCTGTACCTTCTCCCAAGTTGAGACCTTTCCGAAGCCTGAACGCTGCACGGTGGTTAATTGGTGATTGGGAGCTCTCATGATGCCTGTGCACTCACCAGCATGTGGTGCCCTTACGATCTTGTTGCCTTCAAAATCAATGATCCAGCCGTAAAAGGCGCTGCAGTTTTTGAATTTAATCTATAGTTAATCAGAGTCCGTCTGGTCGAGTTATGGGTTGTAATTCAGCACTCACACCATCGTTCCAGAGCTTTGTGCGGCATAGTCAGACGCATTGAGCATCTCGTTCACCATCAAGCCTGTCTTATCCCGCTGCAACTCGCTTCCGCTTCGGTCCTGCAACCTTGATTTAAGTATTTTCTTTTGCAGCCATAAGTCTTGATTCACAGTGAATGATAGATCAGTGGCTTTGAGCTTAGAAAGGACACCTGGATCTCCGGCGCCCCAGCGTGAAGAACTGTTGGAGTTACTGCCGCCATAGCCAGAGCCGCCCATGTTGAAGGCTCCATATCCTCCGTAGTCGCCATTCAGTCCCTGGCTGGGTTGGATTGCTGCTTGACTGCTCTTCTTGAAGTATACTGGCAAAAATGGCACACTCTGCGTCTCGTCTACGACTACGTTTAACATGACCAAGTATTGCCCAAGGGCAGTGTCATCCCGGACAGGCGTTCCGTCGGGGAGGCAGACAGTGTCATGCAGACATTGATACGAACCGGGCTCTGTTACTTGCCAGATGCTATATAATACAAAAATTCTCAACATCAGACAACGGCTTGTCTTTGATAGCTTCTCCCATCATAATACCATACACATACGAATCTCCAATCAGTTGGTAGTTTGATCCACCTACAGGGCGTAGGATGTACGGAACTGTTGCGCCTCCAAAGATGCAAACAATGTCACCTGGTACCACTGATTTCGGTCCAAGTCCAATATAACCGTTTTGTGTTTCAAAAATATCCCATTGGTCCTTTTTCCATGCGATATTTTTATATAGTGAGTCCCATTTCTTTTTCTCTGGATGCAATGGGTTTATGTCAAAGCCGGGCCTAATTGTAGACCATTGCATCGGAAACAGGGAATCCAGGGTTACTCGACGCCCCCGTCCCGCAGTCAATACTTGTAAAAGGACAGTGTCATACCGTTCCCCGGTGTGAGGATAACAACCCTCATAACCCAAATTTGTCATCTTCTCCTTGAACAGGGCCTGCATATTGACTACCTGCCATGGCTCGGGACCCCAACTGTCAAAAGGAGTACCATCTGTGCTTTTTATAACGTCGAAAAGTGTTCCAGAAATGGTAATGCTACCATTTGGTATGTTCATGCGCACATCTTCTTCCAGAGCCGTTCCGCATTCGAAATAGTCTCTCCTTTCAATACCTCCCCGCAAAGGCTGACTCCAATCTGGGACCCAAGAAGGTAGTCCGAGTGTTGAATAGCTTGGCTGAGACTCGGCTAGGACTCCCAGACCGTGCTCTTCGAAGAATTTGATGGCGACAGTTGTGTAGAGTTCATTGACAGATATTGAATAATTAGGTTCAATGTTCAATATTCCTGAGTCTCGGCTCACCCCCAGAAATGCGTAAACCTTGTCGCGTGGATCCGTTGCACTTTGGTACCTTCGACGGCTTAGAAGCTCAAGCAGATGAAGAATACTTAGATATTCTTCGTCGTCGACATAACTGTCACTTTTGCTTCCTTCGCTTGGTTCAGAGCTTCCTTGTGTACCATCCATAGGCTCTTGTATCCCTTGTCTTATCTCGATAATATCCGTGACCATTTTTTGGTTTCTTAATTCGATCGTTGAGTAACGACAAACAATTTTGAGAATGTCGATAATTTCATTGAAATCGAACTGAAGCGACCCGCATATGAGAATTAGCTGTGATGAAACGGCAATTTCTTGTGTAATCCAGCTCCGGGAAAAATATTCTTGATCCCAAAGAGTTCCTAAGGAATCAAGGATAGTATCATCAAACATAATTCGAGGCGGGCCCGGTATTGGGATCCAGGGACCTAAAGGGCGAGGTGGAGTCCAATCCATTATGGGGATCCATAGCTTGGTCTGAATTGCGTCCTGGATATTGTCGAGTACCGAGCTTGGAAGGGCGTTCTGTTTTCCAAGCCACATGAGAGTCTTCACAGCGCTGGTATAGATATCCCTCATTCTCAAGACCTGTTTGGACTTCTCGGCATTGTCCCTCTGGTTGATGCAAATAGCGTCCACCCATAGTGTCCGAGGCTGTTGATCATGTTGGATATGCATCAGGGCATCATACAAATTTCGACCAATCTGCATGTCTTGCCCGTTGGCACTTATGGTCACAGGATTGCTTGGATCACCCCAAACATAGGACAAAGCTTCGTAATCGGGAGCATCTCGGTGCGCAAAGGTCAATATCGAGATATCCAACTTGCCACCAGGCGAAGCGAGCCTAGCTGGAGCAAGTTCGATGAGGCGAATATCATCATCATTTTGGAGGGGCTCGTAGCTATACATAGTTGGCAGGATCTCGAAAGATGGGTGTGATGTTCTGTCTTTGCAGTTCTGGTAATTAATAGGATTGTTGGCATGAAAACAGGATGTAAGAGGGATATTGTATTTATCCTATCTTTCGGGCATTACCGTTCTAAATGGGGATATAAACAAAGATTTCGCTACAGTTCTGGCTGCCTGTATGCCTTGTGTACGCATTGCTCTTTCATTGGGCGAGGCGCTCGTAAAAAGCAAGCAAACGGCTTGTAATTGTATTTTCAACCGACTTGGTTGTTGGTTGTCAAACAGATGGCGTTAGGCGAGGGACGTGCACAGCAGGGTTAGGTACATTAGCCTGGACATCAAGTCCCCCAGCCTCGCATTACGTGTTGCTCATAAGCCAGTAAGCCTAAGTTCAATAGTTTTGCTACATCTTAAGCCAATAGCGTCTTTGGGAGGGACACGCACAGAAGGAGGGGCAGCATGTGTCCGAGCTTCATTAGTGCAGATGACTAGGGGGTTGAAAATAAGGCTCCGGGAGCATCCCAAGAACTCCATTTCTCATACACTAACCACAAACATTTCTATACCAATATAGCAAAGATATACAAGTGCGCTTACTCCGGCTTCCTTCCATACACAAGCCTCAGTCGGCAGTAAGGATGATACTTTGCTGACCTCAACTCCCTTCGAAGCTGCGAGCAATAAACCGTGACTTCATCCTGCGACCATCCCAACACAACACTCGCCATGTACAAAACAAAGCCCTCCAAATCCTGATCCATGGCAGCAAACGCGAAGCTTCCAATTTCTTGCAATTTGGGATCTTTAGGCCAACTACCGATAGGAAGCTGCAAATACACAGTCAGCCATAAGCCCAGGACATTTGAGAGTGAACAGTTGAGATGGTACTTACCTTGAAATCCCGAGTCTGAATATCTGTAAACCCTGCATCTTCCATTCCCTTCTTCTGCAAGTCATCATCAAGAATTGTAAACGTTCGACCAAGTCTCTTTCCACCTTCAATAAAGAACTTGCCCCATTCGCTCATCGCGCTGCCCTCTTTGACAGTATCATCATCACTCTCGAGACAAGGCGACGCTTCAAAACTCTCAACCCAACCGCCTGGCTTACATGAACGATAGGCCTCTTGGAATAAAGCTGACCAATCGCTGATGGAACCGTAGAGATATCGCATGTAGATGAAGTCGAATGAGTCGGGGGAGAAGGTCCATGGCTGAGTGCAGTCTTCAATCTCACTGCTTTTGTCAGCTGACGACTCGATCAAGTTGTCGTCGAGACGCTGTGACACTGAAGAACTTACAACTTGACGTTTGGAGGGACCCAGCTTGGTTGAATGGGAGATATGTCTGTGCCGATCACTTCGGCTTGGGGATGCTCATCGGCAAAGTCACTGAAACATTCAGTCAAAGACATCATCACACCGAGACAGTCACATACATTGCCCAAATTCCTTTCCACCAATCATGTGAGTATAGATTCCGTTCAAAGGTCGTGGCTCCATACCTGTTCCAGTGCCTACATCAAGGACAGACTTGAGAAGGTCAGACATGTTGACTTGCACAGCGACAAAACACTTACCTTGATATCATCCTTCAATGGTGCCAAATGAAGTTTCCCATCAAGTGTGAGAACGAGAAAGTGGTGGCTGAGAATCGTCAGATCTCGTTTGAAGTGTCTCCAGAGTTCTTACATAATATCCATAACTTCATTCTGTTGGGCATCATTGGATGCCCTGCACGTCGAACGTTAGCTTTATGCAGTAAGCAACGGTACATAACTCACCAATATTCAGCGTTTCCTCTCTCAGAGTGATACGTCCTTCCTTTGATAGTTCTATAATTCAGAATACTCGATGTCATCGAAGCCGTCGATGACTCTGCATCTTTTCCAAGCGAGGAGTCAGTATCTTCATCCTGCTCATCCTACAAAACGCGTCAGTTTCAGCCCCTTTAGACCAACCCCGAACGTACCTGTGCCAGGGCAGCCCAGTGCCCGGCGTCATGCAGCACAACCTCACTGGCTCCAGAAGAAGGAGACTTGGGCGATTTCTTCGGGGACGAGGCTCTGTCGCTCATGATGGTGAATGGCTTGGCGTTGAGATTGCGCAAGAACTAGTTGGTTTTTGTCGAAGCGCGATTTTTAACAGCTTGCGGGGTTGAAATGAGTGTCTCGGCTGATTGATGTTGCATTATTGCGGATCATTGCCGGGTGTTGTTGAAGTGCCAGGGTTGTATGATAGGACAGGGATAAATATGATCTGACATTGACAGTATTCAACATCGAGATAAAAAGGACACTGCGTTCAAGTCATAAACCGATAGATTGAGAAACTCAATAGGGATCTCAATTCTAGAATTCACGAAATCTACATATTATACAAAGTTACCAAGAGCCATCTCAGCAAAGACAAGAACCCCTGCAAACTCTATACTCCACATCCCCCCTTTTCCCTTCTCTCATCTCCATCAGACTTCATTTTATTTTTACATTTTTTCAAACCACGGTCAATCCGTCATCTGTCTTTAGATCGGGATGAGCAGTCGTCCATACTGATTTATCCACTTACGAGCAGTCTCATATTCCTCAACAAGACGGCAAATCACAACTGTGTATCCTGACTTCTCAACAGAGCTAAGTCTGGCTTGAGAGCGTTGAAGAATCGGCAGGGTGCACTTCTGATTTGGTGTCGACGGTGCTCCTCATCGTCGAACAAGCTGCCCTTCTCGAAACTACCTCATACCTTATCAATGAGCTCGTTACTGAAACAGAGCAGTGAAATCTCGACTACACCTTCTTCTCGGGTTGGAGCGCCACTTCCAGCTAGCTTCCAATGGTTACATTTCTCTTGGGCAGGGCGCTCATCCGCTTTCTCGTGATGAAGAACAGGAGTGCGGTATTGAGGATCTTCGGAATTGAGGTGAGAGTGCCATAGGAAGCACGACGAGAATGTTCGAGTTGCTATGTTTGGAGATTCTGCTCCAAGGCGGAATCTAGCGCCAAAAGCGTCATTAAAATATGAGTAGCTGGCTTTGGGAAATCCCGAATGCATGAGCATGGAGGCCTTGCTGGGTGCGACTGGCAAACCGGTAGGTGATGCGTTAAACTTGGCCGATGTTCTTTGGAGAACCCCCATTTTGGGACAAGGTTAGTGATATGAGCGCTACTGTTTGTGTATTTATTGTAAGTGTAGTCTAGATGGTTAGTTTGGGTAATCTTTGTGCCACCGTTGCAATTATGCTTTAAGTAGTTGCTAAAGAAGTTCTGGATGATGTATTTGCTTATGCTGTAGCTTCTGCTAATTCGCGTTAATGTTGGATGGTTTGTTCATATTATTGGGTCTGTTCGATATAAATTCTTTATGTCTTGCTACAGTGGTCCCTGTCATAACAACTTGAGTGAAGCTGCTATTTTGTCTGTTCTTTGGCTCCGGATCTCAGAACGACGTTGCAACTCCCTCAATTACAGGCAATTAATTCGCTCAGAGAACACATGTCAATTAATGTTACCTATAGTCACAGTCGATAACAATAATGGTGAAAGGGTGGCATTTCGGTTTATTTGTCCTCGTGAACTACTTACTACCCTGGAGGCAGTGAATTGAGAATTGGACAACGAGGAAGACGGAACACAAGACAATCCCATAGCTCTCAATGCTATTCGAACGTCACTTGGTTTCTTGTTCCGGATTAAGTACTGTATTTCTTTCCTTCATAGGACAACAAGAAAGTAGAGGAGTGACTGATCTGTTGCTATTTATAGCTGCACTAGATAAGATAAGATAAGATAAAGAGAAGTCCTCCTACGCGTCACTTCACGTCAACTCCATACGCGCCCTGGCCTCAAGACCTTTAAAATAACACGCGATTCCAGAGTCATTTAGAGATGAAAGCGTTTCCACTTTTCGTCCAGACCCATCAGGCTGGTTCAGACGTGTTGGCGCATCTGTAACGCACCTCAAACCCCTGTATCCCTGCCATACATTGCCAAACTCAATCGTTTGACATCGCGTCTCAGATCTTGACAGCCCCCGTTTCACATTCCATTCGCTTATACATCGAAAACATTACTACGAACTATTACTGCCAGCCAAAACCTCATCGGTTATACGGCCCGTTAGACTGTCTCAGCCGCCAGATCTGGTTTGGATGCTCGGATCAAGTTGCTTCCTGTTTCTAAAAGCGCCCAAGGGGTGATGGCATGAACATTTTCGTATTAGGATCTGTTTGGAAAAACGGCGAGAGATTGACTTTCGGGAATGGAGGCGATGCCATTGAAACGATGGGAAAGTATAAAGTGCGCGATGATACCCTCATGTCTGTGTTTGTTCATCCAGCTTTCATCCAATCTCCTCTCTGTTTATTGTTTCCAAGCTCTGCGAGCGTTTGTCTTCTCTTTACTTATCATTCTTTTCTCAGGCTGCAGGAACAGTCATTACCATATCTGCTATTTCTAATTTTCTATCACTCTCTCTACCACGATGAAGTTTTCTGCCGCGATCATCACTCTTTCGGCCGGTTTGGCCACTGCAACGCCTGTCTTTCGCAGCCCAGCCCCTGGCAGACATGTCTCTCGATCCATCAAGAAGCGACAAGTTCCCCAGGAACACTCCCACGACTTTGTCTTGACCATCACCGGTGAGATGCTCAGACTCAACAACCCCAAGGAGATCCAAGACCCTGTTTTTGGTCTCCTGGGCGATGCCGCTGCAAAGGAGGGTGCAGGAAGCGTCACCAACCTTGCTTGTTTGAAGCAGGAAACTGCTGACCAAGCCTTTACCAACGCCAAGGAGATCGGTGATCTTCGTGGTATGGCTGGTGCACTGCTCTTCCAGGCTATTGAGCGCAACACTGGTGGTGTCGGTGTTGCCAGCAAGCTGTGTGACGAAACAGCTGTCAATCCCGAGATTGGTGCCCTTACGCAGCATCAAGATGCTGCCTCCACTGGTGCTGGTGCCATCAACAAGGCTGTTACCCTTGAACTGGCCAAGCAGCTGGCTGGCATTGGTGCTGACCCCAACTTGGCTTTGTTGAGTGGTACTTTCGCACCCGGAGATGTAAGTACATATGCGCAACTGTATAGTGAACCTGCTGACAACGTCCAGACCAGCGATACAACTGGAAAGGGAAACTCCTGTGACGAGGAAGAACCCGATCTTGGCTGCATCTTCTCTCAAGGTCTCCTTGTTCTGGACGCTACAGAGGATGAAATCTCTTCTGCCGTAGCCGATGTCACACCAACCTTCACCGGAACAGGCGGAATCTTTGCTACTGACCTGGTCGACCTGGCTTCTTTCTCTGTTGCCTCTGGCACTGAGGTCGCTGATCTCGCTACCATCGTCAACGGAGCTGCTACTGGTGCCGCATCCGCGACCGGTGCTGCCTCAGCCACCGCTACCGCTGAAGCATCGGCTGGTAACGACACTGGCAAAGCTGCTGAAAACACGGCTGGTGCTGGTGCTGGTGCTGGTGCTGGTGCTGGTGCTGGTGCTGGTGCTGGTGCTGGTGCTGGAAAGGGTTGCAAGGCCAAGTCAAAGACCGCCGCCAGCGCGACATTGACGCTTCTCCCCAGCCGCACCTCTGGAGCTGGTGCCAAGGCTACTGGTGCCGCCAACAATGCTCAGGGTGTGAACGTTCAGACTTTCACTGGTACACTTGGCGGAGCAGCTCCACCCGTCATCTCGTCAGCTGCCGAGAAGCCTTTCTCTGTTAACGGAAACACCTTCAATGGTGAGAGCGTTGCACTCGGTCGATCTTGTGATATCCAGCACAATGCTTGTGCTGATGCTGCCAACTCTGGTCAACTTGCGGGAGGCGTTGGACAGTGCGAGACTCAGTTGGCTGCTTGCCGCGCTGCCATTCAGTAAGCAAGAAAACACTTGGACTTTATATACGGTTTTAGCTGTAGATATATACTTTGGATGAATCATGATTTTGCCTTTGAATATCAATCAGTTAGTCTGAGAATTTACGCTTCAAATCACTATGGCAATAGACTGAGACTCTGGTAAGCTGGCCAATTAACTCCTCGACTTGGAATTCATTGGCCTCCCGAAGCAGAAAGAGAGGGCGTGATTTGTTCCACAGACTATTACCAAGAAATAATAGATTCTCACGAGATACATAGATTTAAGTTAGGATAAATAACTTTACATACTTACAACAGACACAGCCTACCTTTGCTCTGGCCCCTACTTGTCTATAACCCGATATAGACAATCACATAAACTGTCTCTCACAGCTATTCATACACAGGTGAGTCCATATCCCGAAGCAGGCGGCCATGGTTGTCCATCCACACTCCCTTATTTATCCAATGAGTGAATCTCTCGTCCTCCCAACTTTCAACAAGTCGAAAGAGTACCACTTGATACCCTGCTTCTGTTACACTGCTGAAATCAGGCAAGAGGTCGTTGAATAGTTGGCATGGTGGAATAGTGATTAACTCATCACAGTCATGGAACTCACCGGAACTCATGCTGCTCATTTGCCTCTCAACATGCTCAGTTCGCATGCATACCAGTTGCAACTCGATGCATCCCTCTACTCTAGTGGAAACGCAATCATCAATGAGCTCCCAGTGACTACTTTCACAGGTTCCCCCCGCAGTACACTCGGAAGCGTCGCGATGCCGAAGAATGAATATTGGGTATTCTACTCCCTCATCGTCTGGTCCCATCATAGCGGCCCAATGGAGAAGATTGCCTGAAAAACAAGAATCACCCGAAGGCTTAGGACGGATCCATTTGTCCTGTTGAAATCTTGGGTCAAGCCTTTTATCATCTGGCAGTTCTTCTCGATCAATGTGGACTGATGCCTTAGATGGTCGAGGCTGATGATGGCCTTCAATGAGTCCGTTGAAACATTTTGAACCAGCTAGAGATTTGTTGCTGTCGTGGGACCCCTCATTCTCACCAGGTGCAGTCGAGAGAGACGCAATGGCTGCCTCGACCTCAGCCAATGCTTGTTGCAAGGCAGACTTAGCAGACTGAAGTTGATCCATGTTGTAAAATTCGGCACAAGAAGAGGGCTATGAGGAGGACTTTTGGAGGGGGGTTTACTGGATGGCGCTGGTGGTTTGCTGTGTAGATAGACTCCTGAACGATGAGTGGGCTTTGAACCATTTTATAATTACGCCTGGGAAGTGATTCCAATTTAGTATTCATTGTATTACATTACTGTAAGCTTATTCATGACTGAACACCTTGGGTGGACATTTGGCCGTTCTCCAGGTGCAACGGATATGGATCAACTGAACAGTCCGGCAATACGGGGGTCAAGACACCAAAATCCTGGAACACAAGGAGATGTTACACAGGTAGCATCTGCACGGCCGCCAGTGTCAAGGTAGGAAGCCATTCACAGAAACAGGCAGTTTTGTTCTTCTGGTCTTTGACCAGAATAGTCAATATGAACGCTTCAATCTTCCTAGGATGTATCAACTTGCGCGAGTAGTCTTGTAACAGAGACTAGAGCTACCAGTGTTATCGTTATCATTGTTGGGCTTGTTGGTTGGGCTTCTGTTCAGGTTCGTGAAATGATCTGGTGAACAATCATGACGAAGATAGTGACGGCCGAAAGAGCGAATGAGGTCGCCGCACAAACGAATCACCCGTGAAGGAGGGGGACCCTGCTTATTCTGCGTCATTACCTTTGGCGGCTATAACGTCCGCCACTTTGCCATTTGACAGCTGCATGAAGTGCAGAAACCGTACATTGTGAGTCCTATAATTAATCCAGATCTGGCTGTGGAAAGTAATGAGAAAGCTATAGTCATAACAACAAAGGCACTCGGGAGTGCTGATGATATGGCGGAGTGGATTTTGAGCGATGCGCCATTGACTATGCGCATCCATTCCTCTCTACGGACTACAGTTCTGTTGTTATGAACGAAGCTTAGCGAAACCGAGTCTAATTATGATACAAGCAAGCACCAACATGTTTGGCATTCCTCTCGCCTTACCTATCACTATCATCATTGAGAACATCTTTATCAAGTTGCTTAAAGAATTACAGACTGAGAAGATATTTCTTCCACGAAACAGGAGATAAACATGATGAATAACGTCTTTTCGGTCGCTATCTAAACTACACTCCTACTATCATTCATGAATGTTGTCATCTCAACCAGTTCAGCCGTGCTTGACGAAGCTTCCTGCTGCGCCTGACTCTGTTTTCCTTTATAAATGGTACTCTCGGTATGACGCGAGCTACTTGGAGTTCTTCCTTGCTGTCTGGGCGCAGATGATCCTTGGTGAGGGTTTCTGGGGCCCGAGTCGATGGAACTACCAAGTCTTGGGAATGCCTTAAGGATAAGCATCCGGAGATCAGGAAGACAGACGCACCATAAACCGATATTAATCTCAATAACGGACCAGTAGCAGGTTTCGAAACTGTTCCCTGCAATATCTTAGACATGATTCAAGAGACACAAGTATATAAACTTACAGGTTGGGTTCTGAGAGTTGCCAAAAGCAACCAAGTATCGCAGCCGTAGAATACTGACAATGGTAACACTACTTACGTTAGTTGTTATAAGCGACAGTACAACCAGGCAACTTACAAAGTACCGACAGTAAACATGACTGCTACAGCAAGCTTCCTCTGCCACTTCATTTGCAAGCGGATCAGCTGCGAGATAGGAATGGCCAACATCCAAAGATCCATGATGATACTCACGGCTGCAATAGCCCAAGCCAATGGATTGATGCCAAGACAGTGTCCCTCATGTAGCTGATCCCAACCTGTCCAGTAGAAGCTAATCGGCTGACATTGTGTGATAGCCAATATGTCAAAGATTACCATGCCGAGGGCTGCAACGCCGATCGTACCCCATATAAGACGTTGGACGGTCACGACAGGAAAGATTCGGAGGTAGAAGAGGGCGACGCATATTTTTGTGAGGAAGACGTCGGAGGCGTAGAGAGTTTGGCCAATGTAGAGGTACTGGAACTGTTAGAAATGCTTTTGCATGGAGATGGGAGACATACGCAGAGATAGGTCGTGATTGTATCTGGGCTGAATAACCATGCATCTCTCCCAAGACCATTGCCCGAAACTATCCGCTGTCCGTATTGATTCCACTAATTGCGTAGATGACTTACGGCCATAGACACAAACAATAGTGTTTCCTAAGTCAATCAGCTACTATAATTAGTAGGATATCTCCTGACGTGGACAATCACTCACAAAGCAAGCTACGACAAGATAGTCATCTAGCCTGAACTTCCTCTCGTACCGCAACTTCTCCAAAAAACGAAGACCAACCACAATCACCGTAATTGTAATCAACGTAATGGCCAAAATGTCGAATTGCGCATGTTTGTCTCGCACCGGAAAATCACAAGCAACCGAGGTGACATTCAGCGTCGCTACCAACGTTAGCATCCAACCAACACCCAATTTCTATACACTCACACAGTGAATCCCACGGCAGACATTTCTTCTGAACACAGCTTGCTACTTGTGTCTTGAGTTTCGGGTCGGCGCAAAGACATTGGACGTCAATGCCACATGTTGACGTTGATACGAGATCGATAAGACAGCTTCCCTAAGAGAAATCAGTATCTACCGGGTTGAGATAAGCGAGAGACATACAGCGCAGTCTGGTATCTTTGTCAGAATATCTGAGACATCATCACACAATACTTGGCATACGAGAAAAGCCCACGTCACCAGCAACAGCAGCAGATGCATGCTTCAGTTGATATGCAGCATGGTGGAAGAGACGGATGTGATATTGACAGGGGAGGAATACGAGGGAATTCGATAAATCATTTAATTGTTTGTTCCTCATCAATCTCACGTGGCGAGTTTAGCTTGGCTGGAGACATTGTCGATGCAAATCTTCAGCTGACCCCACAGAGTTTGAGGACTTGTCTCCAGTATATTTGAAGCGGAGTCATTTAGAAAGGAGGCCCGAAAAGCAAGAAAGAAATAGACTAACTGTAGAGCTGAGAGATTGTGTGTTGACATGGTAGGTGGTTTCTTTCAACCCCAGAGGAGGATCGACAGATCAGCACAGTCATGGACTGGTAACTGATTCACGGTGATAAATGAACTACCAATTTGGGTAATGGCGTGTCGCAGTTATGGACCCCCCAAATGCTAGACAGAATACTCAGTGCTTTTTAGAGGCAAGCGTTTTCTGTTGATTGTCCCAAGCTATGCGGCCTCCAAGGATCTGCGATCCACTTAGTAATGCTTATTGTCAAAGCGGGATGGGGTGAATTTATGCGTTCGAGCCAGTGACAGCAAGTTCGCCGAATTGCTGGGAACTGTTACTACTGCCGTGTTTCCGAACTTGCTGATAATCCCTGCTGCTTAGTGCTGTTTAGAGCAGGCGATGCTGTGTATTGATCTTTGTCATGGTTGATGTTGTTTCCATCTATCACTGGGAACTGGGTCTTTGTCTGTCACAGTTTCATGTTGGCATGGCTGTTGTCGATCAGCAGAAGAATTGCATTCGCTGTATTGCCATATAATGACCCTTTTCTCAATAAAGCTCTATGAGGTTGATGCTGAGAGCGCAAGGAGTCAGCGACATATAAGGTTATCGAAGTCAGCATCAAGTTACGTTGCTATCCTTCATGTATGACACTTTTAGCTTCAGCACTGCGACGCCCAATGATTCAATGAGACGAAGAAAAGCCTGGAGCAGATAATCACTGCATGCAAGATAGTCCAGGCAAGCTTGGCGGACAAGGTATGCTAGAACTTTCTACCATTGACGAACCGATTGTGCGATGCAACTGATGACAGCCAAACTCATCTGTCTCTTGTCAATTGAGTCTTGCGTCGCTGAATCCTTACGCCAAGTATTGCCGGTCGACCGACCAGCTTTGAACAAGTGTATACATGAAAGCTGTCGGCGAAAGCGCGAACCATAGGTAATGAATAGACGTTGTTCGCTGCACAAGGACGTGAACAGAGGAGTGTGTTTAAAGAAAGAATTTAGGGCCTTTACGTACTCCCTGCCAAGTATTTGGACATGATGAAACAAAGATGCTGCAAAGGGAGGAAGATAGACCCTTGTTGGTCATTCTGCGCTGGGAAGTGGTTTGGTGAGAGTTTCTTGACAATCACGTAGCCTCAACCCGGGGATTCATATATACATAGAGAAGATGACTACGCCTGATGCTATTACTGTAAGCCCTAGGTCAGTTCTTGCCGATCTACCTCTTATTGCCTTTGCCCCGTTCCTTAGCCTCCTTGACCTTTCTCGCCATATCCTCTCGTCTCTTTCTGCAAGCAGGACATTCCATTGGAACAAAACGACCTGGGCTCCTTATACCGACGTTTCAATGTCTCCAGTCTTCAAATGATATAGACTCTGCGCAACGATCCCACTCTTGGGTACACAGCCGCTCGTAATATATTATGGTATACATCATAAGTGGTAGGGCTTAAGGTTACTGTAAGGTGAAATGAAGATATTGTTTATTTTCAAAGTTGCTTTGTTGGCTGGTTGTGTCAGTGGAAGGTGTTGGAGACTCTTGAAAATGCGTAAGAGGTCTGCTTTATTCACGTCAAGACTGCGATAAAGTCTGTCACTGACATATCAAACTTGTGGAGCGAAATGTGTACCTAATCACATCATGAATGAAGTATGTATCTCAGACATCTACTGAGTCCAGGTCTCGAAAGCCAGGGCTCAGAGTTAAGAAGACGCAATCTGGAGAGGAGCCAGTCTGATGAGACCAAGCGTGACCAACATTCGACGTATTCTCTCGATCAGATGTCGAAATAGAGGTCCATATGCATGCTGGAATGGACTGGCTAATAAACTATGTGGGTACATTCTCCAGGTGGTATGGTTCCTAGCGAAAAGAAAGCTGACCAGAAAGGAAACGTGAATAGGGCGGTTAAGAAGCTGGATGCAACAGACTGTTGGACCTGATACTGAATGATTATCATCAACTAAATGACAGCAGATTCGGACGAGTTCAAGAGAATTCAGAACAATTAGCACGTCGTTTACTAGCTTCGTTCGACTAACCCATGCCCAACCGCTGTTCACAAAGCTTCTGATCGCATCAGGTCTGGAGTCAGGCACAGACCACGAAAGCAAAGTTCACTAGATCTGAACAGATAACGAGCATGAGATCTCAAGAACAGCTACTTCCATTAGCATACTACTGCCTCACATTATAAAGGACTTTGGTTCCCAGTTGTCTCTGTCTAGCTATCTCACCTCCTTTATTCTTGCAGACCATACCTCCAATTTCTTTCTTCTCATAACCGCAACGCATCCAACTCAATCGTGTTCTAAACATCACAGACGACAGAATCTCAACATGAGTTTTTATCGAACGACCGGTAAGTCTGGTGCGACCAAAAGATCTAGCAGTTTGAACAAAGGCATTGCGGGCATGGCGATCTCAGATTCAGAGTCAATGATAAGCATCGATACGTTTGCGAATTCTGAGGATAGTGCAAACTCCGACGAGGTACCATCGACTAAAGAAGAGTTGGCATACTTCAGACTGTCATTAATCGACGTGGGAGAGGGTAATTTCATCAAAGCTGTTCGCATAACAAGCCACATCTTGATCCGAGTTACCTACTCGGTTTGGTTCACTGTGGAGTGGAACGACGGTGAAGAGTCATGGGAGCCCGAGTCTGCACTACAGGGATACCAACCAGAAATGGTCTATGCCTACTGGGGTGCACAGAAAGGGGGACGTGATGAGGTAACCCAATTCGATATGTACCACGTCTTTGCGATCTTAGATCACGGCAGCATGGTCGATAACGGCAGGAGACGCGCCAAAAAGATTATTTACAAGATTCATTGGGTTGGCTACGATGAGAGCGATAACAGCTGGGAGACATCAATGAAGGTTGCAGGTCTTGTTCCACAAATGAAGCAAGAGTATGATGAGAAGCATGGGTTGTGAATTTTGAGAGATAGTGCAATGTGAAAGACTGCATTATCGGGTAGTATGGGAACTACATAGAAGGGTTAGGATGAGATGTTCGAGGATTCCTTTGTTACATACATATTGTGAACAGAGAAAATTTGGTAGACTAGGTTGATGGCTTGGTGGTGGCTTTAGTTGTGGTTGTGAAGGCATTTTATTGAGATTTGCACTGGAAATAAGATGTATATCTCGCAGGAGTCCAAATTAATAGGATTCTTATGGGCGAAGGTAGGAAATGTGTAGCTATGTTAACTCAGACATTGGGGTTTATATAAACTCTAAGTTTCTCTGAGTCACTGACGTATAAGCTTTCAGACATTTAATAATCACACTTGACAATGTAAGCTTTACATGCTGTAAAATACAACTATCATAAGCAATTAATACTAAGAGTGAAAAGGCTACTAATTTAATAAACAGTTATCCCGCTATATAACTCCTTCAACCAAGGTGCTGCTGGATCTCCTGCTGGGTCCATTCCCAAAGCTTTTCACGGGCATCCTTATCCCGACTCAATTTGCTTCCTTTGCCCGTTACACCAACAGGATGGTAGAAAGCACCACTTTCAGCCGTGGGATCTGTCATTGCCCATAACTGATTCAGGGCACCCTTGGCAGCGTCAACGGCGATCAAGCTCGTCACGAGTCGGGTGATCATTCCCATTATAAGGCTGGTGCTAATAATCGGTGCAGTGAGGTTCGTCTGTACTACTCCTGGGTGAATACTGATCACTTTGAACTTGGAATATCGTTCGGCAAGGGCTGCAGCGTAGTGAACGTTTGCAAGTTTCGATATAGCATAGCGAGATTGAGTGGAGATGCTAGACATCGTGGTCTTGAATTGCTCGAACTGGTATGGATTCTTTGGAGCTATGGACTCTCCCATTGAAGAAACGAATATGATCCTCACATCAGGATTAGTCTTGGTGGTCTCTTCAAGAGTGGGGAAGAGAAGATGTGTAAGGAAAGCATGGCCCACGTGGTTCGTGCCAATCTGAATCTCGTAGCCTTCCTCAGTTACACCCTCTGGTGTCATCATAATGCCGGCATTGTTGACGAGAATATCGAGTCGAGTGGAGGACGCCTGGAACTCTGTGACGGCAGATTTGATGCTCGATAGAGAAGCAAGATCCAGAGCTAGAAAAGATACTGCATCAGTGTTGGAGCCCTGCTGTTGCAATTCGTTGACGGCTTGGTCAAACTTTGCTTTGCTACGACAAGCGAGGAAGATCCTGGAAGGTTCATGTTTTAACAGTTGTCGAGCGGTCTCAAGACCTAGTCCTGAGTTTCCTCCAGTGATGAGGATGATCTTGCCCTCCAGGCTGGGGATATCAGTGTCTGGAGAAAATGTGACGGATCCCATTTTGTCTGATGGATAATGACTGTCAAACTGGATGGGCGCAAGCGTATTCTAATATATTTAGCATTGCCGGGCTCGGAATCTTAGTTCGTCCCGGATAGTTCTCTTAACTCCGATGCTAGGCTCTTTTGGCACGGATATTGCAAAGAGTCGAGTCTTCAGCAGTTGCGAAAACTCTATTTCATGGTGACATGCAAGTGGAGACTTGAACAAGCTTCTGACCACTAAAAAGTTGTTTGTCTAAAAGTGGAATCAGGGTTCTGAGTTTCTATCTACTGAGCTTATAAGTGATGAGATTGAATGGCATAGCAATGAGGTAACTATATTTAAGACTATGCAGTATTTCGCAGGCCCCGAGGTTACAATAATCCAGCATCTAATACTAACTCCGCGGCTATATCACTACGTAAACAATGAATAGCCCGTTTCCAATCTAGTCAATTAGGGGAGTGAATAATAACCATCCTGCTGTTGTTTCCTGTTTATTGTCAGACCTGGAAAAAAGCATGTAATAAATCTTATGACTCTATAGGGAATAAAGACCGGCATAAGCCATTCCGCAAATTGAGACTCTTCATAAGAGAATGGTCATCGCCATATAGTTATATATCCCAGCGCAGGCCATGCATAACGAGCAATTGCACAAACCATAGGCGTAGCATATAAAAGAAGCTGAAGTAATATTTGCCATGTTTTGTTAGCTGAAAGGACCACGACGTCTTATCTGATAACTGCGCAAATGAATGGCCACGGACACGTCGGCACTGAAATGTGAGCCAGTAAGAGACTCCTGTAAGCAGCATGTCCCATTCTCAGTTCGCCCAAGCATGTTGGTCAATCAGCCCACATTTCATCGAGGAGTTGCGGAAGGCAGTCTGAAGTAAGCCCATGGCCACGTACATTTGCACTTTCATGCAACTCCCAGCCACTCAGACTCGCATTAGGCTTCCTGCATTTATCACCTGCGATAAATAAATGAGGGGTAACCAGTTCAACCAGCACCGCTTTCCTCTTCATTTCCTGCAAAATTGAGAATGGTTCAGACCCATCACCTCGATTCCGCTTTCGCTGAACATACTCGCCTAACTGGTAGCCCTGTCTTTGTCAACCTCTACGTTCCGTCAAATTCAGCCCCATCGGAATTCTGGCCTAATTATCATAACTCTTGGTCTAAACGATTCAGTGATGACTGATGACTGGGATGCAAGCGCGATTGCGGCTGTAGCGGCCTTGATCATCGCACTGTTCGCGCTCCTAGTCGCTGTTGCTCAGGCACTGCAGCAGTACTTCATCACTGGTCAACTGATTCGTCTTTGTGATAGTGTCGTGTTTGGTCCTTTGCCTGGCCAGGGCTACCGCATTTGGCAATTCTCTCAGTTTCGCTTCCAAGTACTGTACTCTATTCCTCAGATCAATCTCGAGGCTGATCTGTGGCCAAAAGAAAGCCCACATATCAAGTCCTATGCCATTGGGGAGGAATATCTACCTGATCTCGATCTAGATTCATTAGTTGACTACTCATCGTCAAGCTCCTCAATCGGAATTGTGCCCATCCAAAGAGGACATATCAATACGATGGATATGGAAGTCCGAGGTCCACAGACGAGCAGTGAATCTTGGAGTTCCTCAACTCGTTCCCATTACACTTATTGGAATTTCTTGGGCGTCTGGCTGCGCCGCAAGTTCGGGAAAATCCGCTCAATCATACCGCTGACAAAAAAGAACAACCAGCCACTGGCTCTAATGACACATCTGTGGGCGATGCTTCCTGGGTGTCCTTCTGCAAAGCCATCAACAGGTCATGCGGAGGTTCAGTGAGATACCGCTTTGTCACTTATGACGCGGACCGATGTCCCTCTGATCTCGTAACGGCACCGATGCAAGTTTCTATGAGGGATATTGCCGTGATGGGGTTGACAGCGGGCATGAAGATCACAGACTGTTCATTCAGGGAAAAGTCTATCTCGATGCAAGGCGCCATTGGCACGATTACTACCTCCAACCATCCAATTCTTGGCCCGATACTTCATTTCACCCCTAGAGCTATCTCCTCACCTTTGCCTCGCTCTCTGGATCAATGGAGTGACGATGATAGAGGGGTTGTAAATAAAAGCTGGCTGGCTCAGACATGGGATGTCTGTACCATTGCCAAGGTGCCTTTTAACTCGCTAAAGAGACGTACCACTAGACGTCTTGACGACCGATGGACTAGTTATCAAGCGCCCGACCAGTCTTCCAGGAATCAGAGACACAAAAGATCGTTCAATACTGGTGGGATTGTTCCAGTCGATGTAGACCGACGTCAAGCCCGAAAGAAAAAGAAGACGAAAACCAAGAAATCAGGGAGGACTGGAGCTACTCTGTCTGTCAATCGCCGTCCCCAAGACGGAATTTGGACCATCACACAGCCTCATCCGCCTCCTCAATCAGCTGCTATGGAAGGTAATGGGGACAGAGAGAAGCCCAAAGAGGTCCAGAGAGGAACCGGGGAAGACGATGAAAGACACGTGACACCATTACATCGTCCTGCGTCAACCAATGAACCCAACTCACTGGGAGAACAAGATACGGCGCCCGCAAAGGAGCTTCACCAGCAATTTTTCAGACAAGACTCAACATCCCAACAGGCCCAGCCAAGTGGTCAAAGTCCGGCGATAGAAACCAAGCCTGAGTGTGAGCCCGAAATGCATCCAGGCCAATGCAACAACTCGACTCAACATGGTACTAAAGGAAAGGGGCAAAGTGATGATATTCAAGCAACACCCGTTCCAGAACCATTGTTACAGGGTCAGCCAAAACAGGAGACTCAACGGTTAAAGCGGAACAAGATGAAGGTCAACCGCAAAGTACCTCGTTAAGGCCTAACGAACACAACGTAGCCGCTCCCTTAGTTTCTCTCTCTTTATTACTAAAGAATCTGCTATTATAACTACTAGGGACCCTATCTCTCTTAAGCTCTTTTATAATATTATATAATAAGCTTTACTGCTTATTTATAAAGCAAACTGCCTAGTATTTAAATACTTCCTTATACCTAATATAATATGCCTTCTAGCAAAAGCTTAAGTAATAGTAACTAACTGACTTATACTTGCTTATTAATGCCTCCTTGCCTTTATAGTTAAATAGTATATTAGTTAGGCTTATTAATATAATACTAATAAGCCACTATAGTATCTTAGTTAGTATACTATTAAGTTACTAGTAGTAGCGTTTTACCTTATAATTAAAGCTCTATTTAAGCTAGCCTAGTAATATTTATTTATAGGTTACTTCCTTATCTTCTTATTTCTAGGACTACCTGCTTATCGCTGCCCTTGCCTATAGCCACTTAACTGCATTATAAATACTAACCAAGTCCCAGGAGCTAAAGTGCCATACCTAGCTAAGCCTCTTTACCTATAGTAAATTATAGTTAATATCTTCTTTTAAGTTGCCCTTATAGAGTTATATAGTATCCTCTTCTTTTAGCTAGGCCTAACTAGTAGTAATTATCTCTTTTATACTACTATATTTTATAATATTAGCACTCTTTAATATAATACTAGTATTACTATTATCTTAAATAATTTAGTATTAAGTATACTTCCTACTTATTTAAGTTTATAATATAACCTCTTCTTCCTATATCTCTGCTATTTTATACTTTACTTCTCTTTAGTAATAGATAATATTATTATATATTACTATAAAATACCTATATATAATATAGCTATATCCTTTTAATACTAGGAGCTATATAATAACTATATTACTATCTTTTAAAAGCTTTAAGTTAACTAGATTTAATATATCTCTATTAGTATAATAGTTAATAATATCTTATAATATATTACTAGTTAGTTAATATATTTATTAAAAATACTTTATAAATATATCTAGCTAGAGTGCTATCTTATATTTCTAGTAAATAAGTATATAATACTTATTATTAAGCTTTATATACTTATTTATTATTATTAAGTAATGCCTAGATAATTATAATAATAAAATAAAATAAAGTAGTAAATACTATTATAATCTTAAATTCTATATTATAAAACCCCTTTTGCTATAGTATTATAAACCTTAAAAATAATACTAACCCTAAATAACCCCAACTAACCCTAAGTAGAAATTTTAACTAATTAGCAACTTGGCCCAGTAGTAAGCGATATTGTAGTAATATATGGCCTGTAAAATCGCATTTATATAGATAATTCTAACAGAATCATCTGCGAATAATTCTTAAGGCTTTCCGGAGAAAGGAGGCGCACTTGCTAGGTAAGTCACTTTCTTCAAACGTCTTTAGCATATATATTCGCCTTCTCGCATATTACCTCTCGGTATTACTTAGATAGTCTCGCAGGGAGATATTAAATTTACTAATAGCTACTGCTAGTCTTATTATATTCCTAGGTAAGGCAGTTAAATTTTATTCCCAAAGGCTAATTAACTTACCAAACAACTTATCCTCTAAAATATAAAGTAACTCCTATTCTAGGTATATAATATGTAGCATATAACTATTAGTAAAGTAGCCTAGTAATAATTCCTACCTATTGCTTAGATAATACTTAATATTAGAGGTTAGTAATAGCTGCATAAGGGAGCTAAGCTAGTATAATTATATATAGTATAAATTAATTCTATAGTAAAAGCTAGGCTATTATATAAATTCCTTAGTCTCCTTATCCTTATATATAAACTATTAACTTTATAGGTATAGTAATATCTAATAGCTTTTAAAAAATAACCTTTTTAGCTCTTATTACTACTTCTAAGTACTATCTATATTATAAGTAGTTTTTATAGCTTAAAAGCTTTACTAAAATAGTATATAATATAGCTTATCCTTTTATTCTTTATACTTAAAGTAGCTATCTTTTTATTCCTAAAGCTATATAAATAGGATATTAATATTTTTTACTACTAATTAATTCCTATATATAACCTAAGGCAGGTAGTAGTACTTAGCTAGTATTACAATCCTTGTAGTTACGTTATATAAAACCTATAAATTTCTCCTAATTAATTAACAGCTTATGCCTTCCTCTTATTTCTATTATAAGCCGCTTAATAGGACTTATAATTAAACTTATAACTTATATATAAGTCCTGACTTACTATAGCAAGTTATTATAAGTATATAAAACATATTTATTAGCACTTTTATAGATTTTAGCTTACTAGCTATTAATAAAACTTCTTTATATTAATTAAGCCTAATATATATTAAATTTATTATTAAGAGATATAATACTTTAATAATACTTAATTTTATACCTTATATAATTTACTAATAATAAACCTAATATAGCTTAATTTAATATAATTAGACCTTATTATTATATATTAATAGCTCTTATTTAAACTATATTATATAAATACTAAGTAATATAAATATAATAACTATACTAATTACTTCTATTTAGTAGAATATTACTGCTAATATTACCTTAACCCTAATTAATTATAATTTACTTACTAATTAGGATATAAGAGAAAATAATAATAACTTATCTAAAAGTAATAATAACTTTAATATTATCTAGCTCTAATAGTAAATTACTAATATAACTATTAAAATAGCAGAGCTTTATTAAATACTTACTAAAATAATAAACCTCGAAGCCTAGTAGGCTAGTAATAACTAGAATAGACTTTAGGAAATATATAACCTTACTAATACTATTATTTATAATAAAGATACTAGAGAAATCCTAAAGCCTAACCTGCTTAAGATATTTAATAAAACCCTAAGTAAACTCTTTATATTCCTTACCTAGTATTAAGTCTTTATATCTTACTATCTAATATAGTTTATAAAGGAAGTAAATAAAACTAAGTATATATTAAGATACCTTAAAGGCACTGCTATATAATAGTTTTAGCTATTCCTTAAAGATTAAACTACTAAAGGAGACCTAAAAGCCCTTAAACCCTAAACCTATATATTATATACTAACTATCTAGCTTTTAAGAAAGCCTTATAATAAGTATTTAAAACTATTAATAAGAAAGGATAAGCTAAAAGAAAAATTAAAATATTTAAATAAACTTAATTTATATTTAAGGTTAAAGTAAAATTCCTTTAGTTAGTATTTAAACTACTTTAAGATTAAGATATACTTATATTATTTTTCTTTAATATACTTAAAGAACTAATATAAGCCAAATTATATAAAAAAGATAGACCTAAAACCCTAGTTATAACAGGATAGGTTTTAAATAGGTAAACTAGTCTGTATTAGGTTTTATGTTTACAGAGTTATAAGGCGTTATATTAAGCAGTAGTAAAGTATTATATCTCTTAATAGTTAATAGTGCAGGTTAGGCTTATTAAGGTAAAGAAGTCTTATTAATAGCTAGTAAGCTAAGTTCTATCTGCTACTAAATAAATATATATATATAATATAGTAGCTTATGGTATTATAAGTCAGGCTTACGGTAAGTCGTGAGTCGATATCGTGAGCCGCATTGCGAGGCTTACAGGTATTATAGGGTTTATTCGTAAGTCGTTATGTGATTGGCTGGATTGTTGGTAGGTTATATGTGACGTAAGCGCTTCCCCTTAATAGGTTATAACACTAGTAAATTATATTAATTAAGTAATTAGAATTAATAATTAATAATTTGCCTAAAGAACCTAAAACTCTTAATATAATAAATAATAAGATAATAAACCTTATTATAATACTAATTAAGGATAGAAATATAATAATAATATATCTTATAGTATTAAAGTAAGACTAATAGAAATTAAAATAGTTAAATAAGATAAGTTTAAACTTACTTATTAAAACTATAGTAAGAAAGGATATAGAAAATGAAAATACAAAAACCCTATTAAAACTAATTAAAAATAGAAACTAATACCTAAAGGGAAGAAATATATTAATACTATAAGAAAAAATAATAGCCCCTAAATAGTAATTAAAATAGTTAATATAATTAGGAAGGATAAATATAATATATTTAGTATTAATTTTACTATAGCCTTAGGATTATTAGAAGTATATAACCTATTTCTTAATAAGGAAAAAACCCTTAAAAAGTATTATCCTAACTTAGTACTAAAGGAATAACCTATTTTAAGATATAAAATACTAACTTTAATAAAAAAAAGGGAAACTAGGGAAAAAACCCTTAAATAAAAAAAACTTAAATATATTAAAGATATAAAAGATCTTAAATACTAAAGAAATAAAATAAATAATAAAAGGGTTATTAAAATAAGTAAAGTATTTAATAAAAAGAAAATTTAAAATTAAAGATTAAATAATAAGAACTAGTACTTATATAAAAAAAATAAAACAGTAAATATAATAAGGGTATAATAATAATTAAAAAAGGAAAAGAAGTTAACCCTAACCTAAATAATAAATTAAGTACTAAAGAATTTAATTAAGGCATTAACTAAGCATTAATATAAACTTTTAATAAATTAGAAGTATCTTTTAAAATTTAAAATAAAATAATTATATATAATTCTTACTTAGCAGTAAATAATATTCCTATTAAAATTACTTTAAGATAACTTAATAAATATTATATAGACCTAGGCTATACTATAATAACTAAGGTATAAAGGGAACTTAGTATTAAGAAAATAAATAAAAGGAAGAATAAATAGTTTAAAATATTAAAATTATACCTTAATATAATAAACTTAAAAACTATTTCTAAAATAGTAAATACTAAAAATATATAGAACTTACTAAAGAAAGAGTAATTATAAAATAAGATAATAATATCTATATTTAGCCTTATATAAAAAAGGTAATAGAAAACCTTATAACCCTAGAAAAATATATTTAATTAGAAAAGGAATTAAGAAGGTACTTATATTACTTAAATTATAAGTAAATATTATAAGTATTATATATATAATACTACTATTTATAATACTAATAAGATAAAGTAATAAATAATTACTTTCTAGTTTAAATTAAGAAATATTAAGAATAAAAACTATATTTAATTATTAATATAATAAGATATTAAGTAATATAAAGATATAAAGGATCTTATATAGCTAGGCTAGAAGCATATATAAAGATATAAGAAAGAGCCTTAATATATATCTAAAACTTTAAATATATTATATACTAAAGATAATAAGTATAATAT